TGATGTGTATAATTCATATTGATATGTTTTAAGCTCGTTAGCCAAAATTAATTGTTAATAGTTCACAATTTGATGTATTTGGTTCATTATCAAGTATCAAATAAATATTAAATAGGCTGCCAAACCACCATATTGATGTATGTTGTGCCGAACCATAGCCTAAACACATCTTAATTTCTCACTATATTTTACCAATATTATCCCTTGTGCTGAACCATTAGTCTTTTTAACAATTAAGAAAACACAATCAAATAGGCCATGCTTTAGGATAACAAAAACCACAACAAACTTACTCTGTCTTTAGTATCAAAAATTAATGATATATCATTAATTTTATTTTAGTCAAATGGTATATCATTTGTTCATCATAAATTAATGAGCCTGAATTATTGTGATTGATCACAAACTCTTTCTGTTATCATTACACACTTAAACCATCCTTCAGTACAGGATTATTCAAAATATGATCTCATCAAACCACGTACACTAAATATTCATGGTACATCAATGGAAGTAGTATATAATATTTTAATTGACCATGCTGCACTTCTTTCTAATCTCCCCTGAAGACCCTACAAGAACTCCAACTGCTCCCATTCTCTTCATGGATTGAGCAAACTTGGTGAAAAACTTCTCACAGTCGGTCAACTCTTCCACAACACATATCTAGTATCCAGTGCTTGATTCATCTAACTATTTTTTTTTTTTTTTAGTTCAATTTGCAGTCTATGAAAAGCCTGATTTGCCGGCATCCTTTTCAGCATTTCTTCCCTAAGAAAACAATAAATTAATAAAATATTCTGTCGAACCATTTGGGTCGGAATCCTTTTCTACTTTTCCTCCCTAAGAGAACAATAAATGAATAAAATGTATAAATGGTTCGGCAACCGTTTCTACTTTTCCTCCCTAAGAGAGCAATAAATTCATAAAATACTCTACCGAACCATTTTGTTCGGCATCTGACTATTTTCTTGAATTTAATTTTCAGTATATGCAAAGCTTGAACCAACCTACTTTCCACAACAGAGAAAGTAACAAACTTGTAGATTTTGATTTCATAGAAATAACAAACAAACTTACTGAGAGTTACCAATCTCATGCGGAAGGCTCTGTATCTCCTAGTCTCCTTGTATTTCACTTTAGAGTTTGCGTTCAACAATCATGAACTCCCTACAGTCATCTTCTTCTATTTTTAATTCTAAAAAGCCCTAGACTCTAAATTAAGATGAATGGTTCGACATTCATGTAAAGAACATAGTCAGATGTCAAACCATTTGATTTGGCATCTAATTATCTTCTTTAGTTTAGTTTGTAGTCTATGCAAAGCTTGGGTTGTTGTTAATCAGATGACGAACCATCTGACTATTTTCTTTAGTTCAGTTCGCAATCTATGCAAAGCCTGAGTTGCCGTTAATTGTTTACTGGAGCTTGAACTAACCTGCTTTCCACAATAGAAAAAGTAACAAACTTAATTCCAAAGAAGTCATAGATTTCGTTGAAGCTTGATTTTGACACCAACGATTCATACGTGCAAAGTGCTAAGTTGACTTAGAAATTTTACGTGAATAGAAAATGCAATGAAGTAAATAGAAGATGATTTTTAAAGTGGTTCAGATGCTCAAAGCAAATCATACATTCACTGTTATTTTATTATTCTTTGACCATTTCCATGATATTACCTGTAAGACATAGAAAGATGAAAAAATACTTTGTTTACAAAGAAAAATAGGCTTTCATATATCCAACCAACCATTTTTTCATAAAGAGGGGTGCCTATTTATATACTTTTGAGGTCAATGTAATGAGTGATTTTACAAATTGTCTTAAAATATAAAGAATTCTCATTCATCTTTATCTTAAAATGAGATAAGATTGGTATAAAATATCTTTGAAATGATATAGGTTTGACAATTTGTTTTTTAAACAGTTGTTGGACCGACGTTATATTTTAGTTATAACAGACTCTAAATTAAGATGAATGATTCGACATTCGTCTAAATGAAACAGAACATATGTATAATAAGAAAAGTAGGTAGACCCTTTTAACTGCCATAAACTTTTAGCTCATTTTCGAGATTTTACATTGTAAAATGCCATCTCAACCGTCCAATTCAGTCTGTAAAGCTGACAAATCATTATCCTTTTTAATTATGATTATCTGATAGGCCCAACGCTTAAGCCTTGTTTAGAAAAATTAGTATATTTAATCACTACAACTTCAATAAAATATTTTACATTGAAACTGGCCAACTGGGATCAATTTTATTATAATAAATAAAGTTAAAGAAATGCACTTTTAAAGAGATTTTGCTACTTTCTATGTTCAGCTGCTTGGCTCGGGCAAAGGCCATCCCCTTTAGTTTTTATTACACTACTCTGACTCTTACCTAGCTTTGTCATTTTCTATGACTTTTGATTTTTGTTTTTCAATCCCTAAGTCTACTTCAATTAATCATCGTTTGATGCTTCTCAATAGCTACAAAAGTTAGATCCAACGATTTAAACACCAAGAAGATCAATTCATGACAAACACAAACATGTTGCTTACTTTGATTAACTTTTCCCTTCTTTTATTTTGTTTATGCATCTTTTCAGCTTTTCCTCCCTAAGAAAACAATAAATTAATAAAATATTATGCCAAACCATTTGGTTTGGCGTCTGACTATTTTTTCAATCCTTAAGTCTGCTTCAATTAATCACCGTTCATTGCTCCTCGATAGCCACAAAAGTTAGATCCAATGGTTTAAACACCAGGAAGACCAACTCATGACAAACACAAACATGTTGCTTACTCTGTTTAACTTGTCCCCCCTTTTATTTTGTTTAAAAAAATAATATAATCATCCACAATAGTACACCAAATTTGTACATATTTTGACCGTTGGTTAATTTTAACTTAATATTAATTAATAATCAGGATTTTATCACATCATTCAATACACTACAGTCGATAACTATAGCATTACTCTTTTGTTTATGCATCTTTTCAGCTTTCCCTCCCTAAGAAAACAGTAAATTAATAAAATATTTTGCCGAACCATTTGGTTTGGCATTGACTATATTCTTTAGTTCAATTTGCAATCTATGTAAAGCCTGAGTTGTTAATTGTTTATCGGAGCTTGTAACAACCTACTTTCCACAAAAATAAATAAATAACTTACAGATTTTGATTTCATAGAAATAACAAACAAACTGACTTGGATAAGTAATTTGATAGTGTCAAGGGGGTAAGACACAGCAGTGCCTAAGGCCATTGAACCGATGCCAACAACGACATGACTTGCAAACAACTGCTCCTGTAACATAACCATCACCCCCACAAATCAAACAAAAAAATTGTTGATGCAGGATTTTGCACCAACGAAACATACGTGCGAAATGTTGTAGAAGGCCCCGAAATCACACGTGAAAGTAATGGATCAGAGATAGTAAATGCAATGAAGATAAGTTTTAAAGTGGTTCGGATGCTAAAGTAGCAAGTCCTACGTCCACTGATGCTTATATTGATGATAGGGGTCAGGTCGCTATTAGCTGATTGACTTTATAATGATATTACAAGGTATCAACTGTTGAGAAAAGAGAGAGTAATTAATTAAGTGAAAAAATGTGTGAAAATCCCCTTAATGAGAGATGAATTCCTAATTTATAGTCAGATGCTTTGAGGCAATCATCACTAAATCTGCGAGTTGGTGGGATTATCTGTGTAAATCCTTCTTTATGTCACATTGCCCACCTTCCAGAGTAATTTACGCGATTTAGAGCAGGGATTGGACACGTGGGAGCACCACAGCCTCCTGACTAGCCTGACGCGCGCCCACTATCATGATAGACACAAACGGTGGCTGTTCCAATGATCTGACTTTTGCGGGCTAAAAGGTCCTGATGTCAGTCCTTATATCTTTAGGCATAACAAAAATCAACCCAAAAATCATATCATATTCTCAAATGAGTAATTGCCAGTCATGATACTCAGTCTCTGTTAAGTAGTAAAATAAAAGGGTAAAGTGGGTGAGCTTGCCACAGAAACACTATTATACACATGGCTTAAGTACCTACAAAAAACGAACAGGAAGGTCTCCTCTACTCTTAGCTTGAGGGATTGAAGGAATCTCCCTACAATTAGTAAGAAAAGCAAATTTACCATGTTTAGAAGAGGCCAACCATGTCCCACCAGCCATCTCATCTTTCCCTCCCAGAATCTCTCCTCCTTCCCACCACTCCAATGGCTTGGTAGGCAACATGTAGATATTTAATAATGTAAATGTGAATGTGAAGCGTTTGGGTTGATTTGGATGTGAAGGGGTCCAGGGGAGGAGCAGAGGTAGTGGGGAAGAGGAATCTTGGAGAAGCCAAAGAGATATAGTAGTTGATAGACATTTAATGTGAGATTGTAAATGAACGTGAATGTGAAGGGACATCCCCATGAAAACATAAAACGTATGAGACCTTTATATTCACGTAAATTTATCTTTTATGTAAATAACAATATTTATTATTAACGTAAAACAAACAACAATTAATAAAGTTATTAATATCTATTATTAATAATAAACAATATTAAACAATAATTATATTATGTCACATATACTATTAAATCTAATTCATCAATCTATTTTACATCATGACTATTAATATCCAATCAAATGTTAAGAATCTAATTCAACACCAATCAAATGTAGTCATCTGTAGGACAATCTTCCTACATGGCAAAATGAAGAAATTCTACATTTTTAAAATGACCATAATATAGTCTATGCCTCAAGATTATATATATATATATATTTTTTGTAACAAAATTGTAAATATATATATTTTATATTATTGTTTATTTAAAATAATTAAGCGAGCTATTATTCTTGACCTGTTATCTTTCCATGTCATCTGAGGGCTTTACTGACCTTTAAATAACTGAAACCAAACGGTGGGGCCTCGACTCTTATCGCTGACACGTGGAAAGCCAAATAAGCTCAAGCAAGTCGCACATGCCATTCCCATTAGCAGTTATTCCCACGTGTAAAGCAAACTCTCTATATTCGCTCGGCATTTGAGGCGAAAATGAGCAAGCGAAAGCGGAGATAGAGATTCCTTATACGGCCGGAACATTCCTCATTTCAGGTCAATAATTTTATTTTATTTTATCTATCTTCAATATTTGAACTATAATTAAATCAATTTTCTGGACTTTAGATTCTAATATCCTGTTTGGTTGGTGAGAAAGTGAAAGGAAAATAGGAGGAAATGGTAGTTTCTGATAGTTTGATGCTCATTGAAATCTTAGTTCAGAGATTGAAATATCAAATATTTTTTCTTATAAGTTTTATTAGTTGTAATTATTGATTGTCTGAGATTTGTTTTTGTTTAAGTATATTTTATTCGGATACTGGCTGAGTTTAATCTTTCAGGTTTTGCGGGATAGTAAAACATAATGTTTCAGTGAATTTAGTGGCTTGCAATTTGTAGGAAAAAAATAGTTGAGGTTTGGCAAGAATACAGTCGAACTTGTATGGTTTCAGAATTTGTGAGGAACATATTTTAAAATAATGAAAGTCTTCTTTTCGAATTGTCTGAAATCAATCTTGAATTTTCATGAAGTCCATCAAAAAAAATTCTGCGGGGTGCTTTGAATTTATCCTAATTGTAAGTCTTGTCGTACTTTTAAGTTTAAAATTATGATTTATGCTCAAGTTGATTTACCTTTATTTTCTCAGCGACCAAGCCGAGAGTTTTAACTTTTTTCTATTTCTAGAAATTTTTGCTTGAACTTCCTTTAGATAACTGTTGATTGTTGGAAAAACTAAACTGGAAATGAGAATGTTAAAATTTTTAGCTTTCTGCAGGTGAAACATAATCTAGGATCTTAATAAGAAGCCATCATTCTTGTGTTGTCATGCCGTACCTTGTCCGTGAGCATCTATTTATTGGCAACATAGGTGATGCAGCCGAGGTTCTCCAAAAAGGCAGCAATGAAATCACACATATTCTATCAGTTTTGAGCAGTGCATCGATATCCTTTTTCTCTGAATGGCGCAGCGGTCTCACAATCCCCTCCAAGGAGATTAAGAAGGTTTATGTTGGCGGAGCCGGTGGTGATGGTTCAAGCACCGAGGACAATGTGGGTGATGTGTCAAAGAGTTCTTTGTCTCGTGAGAAGCTCTTGTACTTGCTGGAATATGCTGGTAAGGATATGAAGCTGGTGAGAATGGCAGTGCCTATCAGAGATATGGAGGGTGAGAATTTGTTGGATTATTTGGATGTATGTTTGGATTTCATTGATCGAAGTAGAAAGGAGGGGTCTGTTTTGGTGCATTGCTTTGCTGGTGTGTCAAGGAGGTACATTTGTTATTCATTTTCCTTATTTTAGAGGATTAGCATCTCTGTTTGTTGGATCTTTTTTCTTATGAATTTTAAGATCTACAAGGGAAAAATCCAATTACATTGTGGAATACCATAGTTAGGTTTTAAGGCTTTGATGGATACATTTAAGCCTACTTTTATATTGTATTAAGCTCAAACTTATAAGATTCGGTTTTCAGTTCATCACTTTGGGAGTTAACTCAAGTCCATTGTCTTTGTAGTTCTAATAGAAATCATAGGAATTTAATGCCTAAGTGCTTGGTAGTGTTGAATTACGAATATGTCAAAATACATAATGCATCATTAAGAGTGCTGTGTTAACTTGCCGTTTCAGTCCAATTTTGGGTAGAAATGACTGCCTAACTATTTCCTACCCCTCCTTATGATTGTCATCGTTCTAAAAATAGAGGAATAGCCTTTGATTAAACTTACTTTAGGACAATGGTATTTTGATCCCAAAGATATAAGAATGGTTTGAAAGGCTTATAAATTATGGTCAAAATTCAAACTCTTACTTTTTGGTCGCTGATTTCTTTTCTTACAGGTTTCCTCAATTCTTTCCAATGATTAACTTGAGATTTTCCCCTAGAGATGAAATAGTGTCTTCATTACTCATACAAACACCTAAGGTTTTCCATCATATTTATTGTGTCTCCTTTGCTTTTTGCACATAACATCATTGGAAACAAAACTATTTTACAAAAGTTTGGTAGCTCAGTACAGTAACTGATTTGGTTTTCTAAATACTGAGGGAAATCTTATTTCAATTTGTATGTAACATTGCTGTTTTATTACCAGTATATCCAATTTGCCTTTGGATTTTAATGCGTATTAAATATACTCAATTCTGGCCGGTAAAGATTGGACTTGAAATTCAAATTCAGGAAAGGGACACTTTCTAGTTTCTGGTAAAATTCATTATTGACAACAATCAAGTTTGATTATTATGTGTAAAAATAAATTTTTTGTTCCTCTTTCACTGTGCTAATCTGTGTTAGAAATTGTCCAGAACAGACCTTCATTGTAATAACTTTTCCAGTTTTCTGAATTGTCAAGTCCTAAGGCTTTACACCCTTCTTTGCATGTGTTCGTTGCAGTGCAGCTATCATTACAGCATATCTGATGAGAACTGAACAGCTTTCTTCAGAAGGTTTGCACAAATCCATTGTTAGTTTGGAGTAATGTGGGTCTACAAATTGGTATATGACTGTGAGTTTAAGTCTTTATCAAATATTATCTGGATTGCTGTTCGTCAGATGAGATTGAAAATATCTGTCTTTGTCATTTCAGACTTAATACACATTTGCTCTCTTTTTTCCTCTTTTGTTTTGTCCATGTATCCCTGTAGATGCACTTGAATCGCTACAACAGAGCTGTGAATTTGTTTGTCCGAATGATGGATTTTTAGAACAGGTAGCTTATGTTGTCTTTGGTTATCCACTGATTCTGAATTTTATGTCTTATCTCTTAATTTCTAATTTCTCTAGTTTTCTTTGTAAATATATATTCTTTTTCCTCATTGCAGTTGAAGATGTTTGAGGAAATGGGTTTCAAAGTTGATCATGCTAGCTCCATTTACAAGCGATTTCGTCTAAAAGTATTAGGTATAATTCTCATTCTTTATTTTCCTGCTCCATCCACTCTGATCTGTTTTTGTTCTGTTCCTTTTTTTTTTTTTCGAATGACATTTCAATGTCTATTAATTCAGTTCCTTCTGTTTTGGGATTCTATGGGTTAGTTAGTTTAAGATAATGTTAATTCCAATTATTTCAAGTCAAGGGCAGCATGTGTGGTAAAGCTGGCAATCATCAAGAGTTTAAAGGTGATTATTCACCTAATTTAAAGCTTAAGTAACTAATGTCCCGTGGGTCATGACTCGAGCTTTCTAAGCTGATCTCATTTTCTCGAGCTTTCTAAGCTGATCTCATTTTCTATCCCAAGATCTAAAACATATATTGCATTGCTATCGAAAGTGTTCTAAAATGTGGTGAGATATGCTTACTTGAATGCCTGTTATGTACTTTGACAGCCAAGTCGGAATGCAGAATTTGAATGCTCAACTTTTGATGTGATCACTTAAAAGCTAGACACCAAGCTGATTTGTCTTGGTTGAACTTTTTACACTTTTTATCTATTCTAACTTGACATGAATTAAAGTGTTTATTTTGAATCTCAAGGTCATGTCTATTCTTGTCATCCATAAAAGTTAATTATTATGGTAAAAGTGAAATTGTTTAATTAAAAAAAAAAAGATAATTATTTTGCATTTTTTGCATTTTTACATCATTTTTTACAAAGCAAAAAAAAAAAAAAAATAATAATAATAATAAATAAAAATCATGAAAATTATAAAATTTACTAAGAGCTGTGCCGTTAAAAATTGTATAAGTAACAGAATATGAAGATTTGAAGTGGCTCTCTAGAGAGATTGGTTAGATTGTCTACTGAATATAGTACTTGCATATTGATTTTATGGTTTTGTTTGTCCCCTTGTTATTGGTTTCTAAAGTACAGCTCTAAAATGTTATGGCTTATCAGTAGACAGGTCAGTTACATTAAGTTATTCGTGAAATGCTTTTGGACTCTTTTTTCCCTCATTTTTCATATTTGTTTGCAATTGAGCACTGTATTAATTTGGAGCTTTGTATGTCTCTTGCACTTCTTTAAGTTAATATTTTCATTATTTTTTGCCTTGCATCATGAATTTAGAAAGAGAAGCATAAGTGAACCGCTGTCTTTTGATTAATATTTTGAAAAGGTTTTCTGACGTATGCTTTTAGGCGATTCTTATAACCGTGGTGAGAAAATTGACAGTTCCAAATTCGGGGCTGATCCTGGCTTGCCTGCAGAAGTTTCCTCTGTAGAAGTAACTCCAAATGGAGATAATCATAACCGTGCATACCGCTGCAAGAAATGCCGAAGAGTTGTTGCATTGCAGGAGAATGTTGTAGAGCACATTCCAGGTGAAGGTGAGACGGCCTTTGAGTGGCATAAGCGGAGAAGTGGCAATCATTTTAACAAGTCTGATGAATCTGAGTGTTCTTCCATATTTGTTGAACCTCTTCAGTGGATGACAGCAGGTAGCATAATATCTACTATTTCTTGTTTCCTGAATTTTTGATGAGCTAGCTGTGCTTTGACTATGGAATATTGATATAGGTGAACAGACTAGCACAGTTTATGACCATGTTGTGTACCTTGGCTGCTACTCAGTATGAGTGTTCTTTAATATTTGTAGCATATTTTAACTTGCAAATTGAAATAAATTTTCACTTGTGACATTAGAAGATAATTTAATTGTGATCTGATTAGTCTTTCCAGATGCCCTAATTGTGATAAATTTACAATCTCGATTTATTTGCCCCTGATATTTTTTAATTGGGATTCTTTGTGAAAGCATTGTGAAGAAAGGGATAGTTCAATATTTTTAATTGAAACAAATGTGTAGCAAGCCCGCTTATAATTCATATTATGTTGGAAACATGATCTGTGAAGTATGAAGAATGCTATTGTAATGGCTAATCTTGTCAAAGACGGTCAATTTTATCTTTCCACTTAATTCTTTGCTCCATTGTCATTTTTAGCCTATTCTGGAGAGTAAGAAATCCCTCCTTAGTGGTTATTCTTCAAAGAATACTTTTGTCAGATTCATTTCTTAAAGTAAGCATTGTGGTTACTTTCTGAGTGCATCTAATTTCTTTTAAATAGCATAATCCAATATTGATTTTGAGCTACATCTATTCATGCTACACTTAGTAATTGTTTTTGGCAAATTGTTGTTGTGACTCAGTTGAAGAAGGTGCATTGGAGGGAAAGTTGTCCTGTGTTCATTGTGAAGCACGTTTGGGTTACTTCAATTGGTCAGGCATACAATGCAGTTGTGGAAGCTGGATCACCCCAGCCTTTCAGCTCCATAAGAGCCGTGTTGACATCAGCACTGTGATACTTGCGGAAGGAAAAGAGAGGTCATCAGCTTAGCCACGACAGTTGAGTGCCCAATACTTTTCCATTTGTAATGACGTTTATACAGTCATATAACGTCCATGTTGACCCACACATGTAGAAGAAAGGAGGCCCTCGAAGGAGTACTCTATTTTCTTCTCTTTTGCACCTTGGTTTCACGGATTTTCGGTCGGAGTTTTGGATATTTGGCTTTGATTGTATGCACTTTATATTACTATTATGAAGCTTGTTCTTGGGGCAACCCTTTTTTTTCCTAAATGCGTTTTAGAGGGATTCCTGAGCAGAAACTTCCTAATGGCATCATTCAATCTATATATTCACATGTTATTGAAAAAGTAGCCTTTATGTTCATCTGGCTTTTGGCTTCATTTTTAACCTTAATTGAACATAATTTCCCTACCCCACTGTTTATTACAAAATGGTTGACGATGTTAGGTTATTAACATCTTTCTATTTATTTCAAAAAAAAAAAAAATTATACTTCAATTCTGCCTTTGGTGTCCATAGCGATTAGTTAATCCCTTTGTCCACCATGGGATTTGGTTAGACCAAAATCTTCTTGTTGCGATTGGTAACTATTAAAAAAGATAAAATCCAGAAACAAACAAATCTCAATCACATACTCATTTGGAGTCCAGAGTAAGAGAATTCTATCTGTCATTTCCAGTATGAAAATTGAAAGAGTGGATAACTGATTCATGGTGAGAATCATTGGACCAATGATTTAAATTTTAAAACCCAATTCAGGTGAAACCCAGCAAAGTGGCCGGATCCCAGGCTCGTAAAGCCAGTGTCCAAAAGTTTGAAATCTAACAAAAATACCCTTAAAAATTTTTAAGTCATTATAGGTTTGAAATCTTACAAAAACACCCCAAATACCATCATTGATGTCGGCAAATAGGGCATGTTTCTGGCAACGACAACACTCTCCATCACCACGAAATTACTCCCTTAGCCTCTTGACCAAAACCCATCTCACCCCTCCCTTGTTCACCTCCCCAATCACCAGCGACAACAGGATTTTTTCGACGACATTGTTTTACGATTTTTAATCGATTCACTCATTGAAAATCGATGTCGTTACCACCATTGCACTCACCGATAGTTTCTCTTTAAAAACCCTAATATTCTAGCCTTCAATTGTTTACGAATTGATGTCCTAATTTTTAAGGTTTTAAATAAATAAGAAAATTTGTAACCCGACCCGATGAAGACTTCGAGTCCCGATTGAACTAGGTCAACCGGCCATGCCAAGTCAGGTTTTAAAACACTGCATTAGACCATTGTTTGTCCTAAACAAATTTGTTGAAGTATTATATTTGCCTTTGATTTTCCGTTAAGCTGAAAATTATAAAACAATGAATGCATCGCAAACTTATCTTCCTGTTCCACGCAGTGTCAAAATACGAGCCGCCATTTCTGCTAGTGACAAGTGATGACCATAACTGCTGTCTTTCTAGATTGTAAGATTTTGCATGTAATAAAATGCAACTATTCTTTTTTCTTTTTTGGCATTTCATTGCACCTTGTAACAAAATGTAAGAGAACTTCAATTGACATCACAGGAGAGATTAAGTTCAAATATTGTATTATGTCTTTATTAAGAAGCCTGAAAGACACCTTTGCTGTTTCCAGCAGTCCCATTATAGACATAATCATGGAAGGGTAAATTCCAACAATGAGATTTGCAGAAAAGAAGAATCAATTGAAACATTTCCCAAAAGGCAAAAAGGAAGGCATGGCTAACTGTAGAAGTGACCCAAAAACAAATACTAGGATAAGCAAATTTACAAACTTATCAGCAGCATCTGAAAGGGATCATCATATGACTGAAGCGCCGGCTTGCATGAAATGAGAGTGTCTGAAGTCTGAACCTTGTGAGGAAATGCATATTTTCAAATATGGGGTCAATAATTCTACAGGCTCCTAAACTGAAGTGATATTGGTGTATATATAGTGATATGTTAAGAATTAAAACTACAGATCTAGATAAACAGTGTCAAAAAAGAAAAAGAAAAGAAAAACCCTTCAAAATAGACGAGTGCCACGATGTATTCCTGAAGCAGCAAATCAAATAGGTCAACGGACTGGTCATTTCAGTTTAACACCACATCTTGATATCAATGGGATTCTGTTCTGAGTTCGAGAAGTCCAGGTTTCACATTCTCATCAATCTTTTCTTTCAAGATTAGTGAGATTGTGCTTCAAGAAGGATGTTTGTAGCTGCATTGACATCATTTCTTGCGTGCACAAGTGCCTGTCTGGCAGAGTTCCGGTCAAAGCCCATAGAAACAAGCATAGCAATGGAGTCTTCTGGCGGCTCTATGCTGGAAGGCGTGGGAGAAGGGTAACTTCTCTGAAATCAAAGTAAACATAAGTTGTTCAGGAATGCCCATAAGGAGGTAGAAATGAAGTGCAAATCAAATATGATTTAAAATCAAGTTAGTTTCTTCATAAAGAAAAGTTGATGTTAACCACTACAGATCACAATGTTTGAGAAAAGCCATAAAAATATTTAATAGAAGTCCACTACAGCTCATTAACTTTAACCCACTTGGAAAATTATATCGAAGTTGCTTTCATCATTAGCAGCAATTGAGGTCAATCAAAGGTATTTTCCTGATTGTATAATAAAAATTCTCATTCTTTGCTTTAAGCCAAAACTAAAAGGGTGAAATATAGCAGCGATCACAAAAAATGATAATAAGCAAACTAAGCCTAATCAACAAATGCTGCATGTCCTTTGATTAAACTTTCTTCACAAAGTTTAGCACTCCTCATACATGTAGGGTACAATTTTGACACCATAAGCAAGCCAAACAAATTATATCATACAAAAATAAAAGCATCAAATTTAAGTGTCATGGGAGCAAAAACACTGCCAGTAGAGACTTTGTCCACCTCCCAGGTGGGAGAGGAGAGGATAGGATGGTAAGTATTAGGGCACCAGGGTTAAAATCCCAAACATAATGAAAATGAATCCATAAAACATGCATGCCCACATGGTTTCATTAGTTATTACCACTCTAGTTAACAATTAAAAAAAGTTTTAAGCAGATGGTTAAAACACAATCAAGGTACTTGCCTCCACTTGGCGCCCTGTGTAGGATGGCACACTTCCTACAACATTCCTACTTGGTGCTGCAGACGAACTCCCAACAGATGGCCAAGAAAGCCGCGAAAAGAATGAAGCAACAAACTCAGGGAACTGTCACACAACAATAAACAGGGCAATCAAGAACAATGTATTCTAATCTTTATGACAACATATGCAAATAACACAGATACTACAAATAATTTGAATTTTATACAGATTTGAATAAGACTTCCTAACTTAATCTGCATATCTCAACTGCAGCACTTGATTCCAAGAAGACCCTTGTAAAATAATTTATAATGCTACCTAAAAATGGCATAGATGCTCTAAAGATCAGAAGATTTAAACAATCTAAAGTAACTTATATTACTGTGATCTATGATGTTCAATCAGGAGTGGAACTACCGACTAAAAAGGTGGCACCCATCATTATGGCTGAAATCCTACAGAAATCACTGACTCCAAAAATGCAAGCCTTCATGGATATATATATACCCATACCAAACTAGTTCGTTGCTATTCATTGCAAACTCCATACATCATTTTTCATAGTTAATTCCTTTCTCTTTTCTTCTTAAAAAAGGAAAGAAATCACATTAAAGTTGATTTTGTTTCTTTTCTGTTTCATTTCCAGACAGCATTCAATGTAATAACTACAATGAAGCTCATAATTGTATAAAAAGGATCTGCTTAAATGCTTGAACAGAGTACCAAACTATCATCTACATTTGTAGTCACAAAAAGTTATTTCAGTCCAAACATAATAATGAATTATTACATTGGCTTTGCTTCTATAAAAAAATAAAATAAAATTTTATTACCTTTGCCTTGCGGATGTGGAAGAAATTTAGACGATACAAGGAACCAGCAAAAATCCCACATATTCCTGGCAACATAGATCTTTTCCATGATGATAAAAATAGCTGCCAGACAGAATGTAATGTTAGATCATAGATCTCCAGTAAGAGGGGAAACGAGGGCAGACGTAGCAAAACGCAATAAATTAAACCCACACTAACCTGGAGACCAGCTAGATATATGAATGACTTATCAGAAAAGCGAACTCCAAATACACGGAACCTCGTCGAAACTGGAATGTCAAAGAAGAAGGGTACAAATGAAGCAAATATAAGACCATATGGTCCAGATGTGAGTAGGTTTGTAGAAGGATCTGCAAAAAAAGAAAGATGTAAGTGAATTAATTTCTCCACCATTTCACATTGTAGACAAGTATGCAGAAAGATAGAGAAGTAATAAACGAAAAGTGTAGCTGTATTATATCTTCTCCTTTGAGCCTATGTATCAGGTGGAAGTAAACTATAGCATGCACAAGCCAGAACATGAAGAAAGAAAGAGAGAAAGAGAAGCAGGAAAACAGGGAGAATGAGAAGCAAAAGTTAGGGAGAGAAGCATTTTTCCCAGAATGTCTATTTCAAATATGAAATTAATTAGTTAATGAAGCATGTACAAGCAATAAACTTAATGCATTCCTTGGTTTAGGAGCCATCTCCATAACATGATAGTCTCATGTTAATGACCACACTTACGCTTGGATATTTATACACAAGGAGCTCGTGAGTGTAAGAAAATTATTTTCATTCCAAGTCTAAGCTTGAGAGAACAAGGGTATAATTTCCATTTCAGATCACTTGTCAGATGACAACTCTTTTAAAAGGGCTCTTAATGTTAGGGGTGTTCGAACTAGTTTTTGACACCAACAAGAGTTGACTAATTTTGACCAAAATATGAGGCTTGTTAAAATAATCTGCCCAAAGACCATTGGCACATGCAGAATAGTAAACCAAAAAAAAGAGGGACAATAAGACCACAAAACAGCTGTCATACTACACAGTGCAAACAGTTGAATGAAATACTTGAAAATTGGAAACTAGAGGAGCATATAAGGATCATAGAAAGAATGCATACCTTTAAGAAGTGCCAGTGCAAGGACCTCAAAGAGGAATGAAACTATTATGGAGAACAAGATGAAGACCTGCAAGTACAAAGCATATTCTTTCTTTAAGAAAGAAAACAGATACAAGTTCAAAAGGAAAAGAAATTCAAAACAATAAGAAAAACATTGTCTTATATCTTGTGTTTCAATCATTGATGAAGAGGGTACTTAAGGTAAACTAAATAGTAACTAATCAAACTATAGAAACCCCAATTACCATCTATGGGATTCTACCACCACTTCATAAAAGCCTAATGAAAGTATGGAAACAAAACAGTTATGGAAGTAAAAGAGCATGAAAAATATTAAAAAAAAAAAAAAAATGATATATAATTAAATCAAAAAAAAAAACCCACATCTGTGACTCTTACACAAACTCATAGAGCTAATTTTGGAGATGACATAGCCATGTTGGAAACAGAAAAAAAGTTTACTTAAGATAACACCCACCAAATAATTCACATAAGACCAGTCAAGATTTCATATTNATATAAGACCATATGGTCCAGATGTGAGTAGGTTTGTAGAAGGATCTGCAAAAAAAGAAAGATGTAAGTGAATTAATTTCTCCACCATTTCACATTGTAGACAAGTATGCAGAAAGATAGAGAAGTAATAAACGAAAAGTGTAGCTGTATTATATCTTCTCCTTTGAGCCTATGTATCAGGTGGAAGTAAACTGTAGCATGCACAAGCCAGAACATGAAGAAAGAAACAGAGAAAGAGAGAAAGAGAAGCAGGAAAACAGGGAGAATGAGAAGCAAAAGATAGGGAGAGAAGCATTTTTCCCAGAATGTCTATTTCAAATATGAAATTAATTAGTTAATGAACCATGTACAAGCAATAAACTTAATGCATTCCTTGGTTTAGGAGCCATCTCCATAACATGATAGTCTCATGTTAATGACCACACTTACGCTTGGATATTTATACACAAGGAGCTCGTGAGTGTAAGAAAATTATTTTCATTCCAAGTCTAAGCTTGAGAGAACAAGGGTATAATTTCCATTTCAGATCACTTGTCAGATGACAACTCTTTTAAAAGGGCTCTTAATGTTAGGGGTGTTCGAACTAGTTTTTGACACCAACAAGAGTTGACTAATTTTGACCAAAATATGAGGCTTGTTAAAATAATCTGCCCAAAGACCATTGGCACATGCAGAATAGTAAACCAAAAAAAAGAGGGACAATAAGACCACAAAACAGCTGTCATACTACACAGTGCAAACAGTTGAATGAAATACTTGAAAATTGGAAACTAGAGGAGCATATAAGGATCATAGAAAGAATGCATACCTTTAAGAAGTGCCAGTGCAAGGACCTCAAAGAGGAATGAAACTATTATGGAGAACAAGATGAAGACCTGCAAGTACAAAGCATATTCTTTCTTTAAGAAAGAAAACAGATACAAGTTCAAAAGGAAAAGAAATTCAAAACAATAAGAAAAACATTGTCTTATATCTTGTGTTTCAATCATTGATGAGCAGGGTACTTAAGGTAAACTAAATAGTAACTAATCAAACTATAGAAACCGCAATTACCATATATGGGATTCTACCACCACTTCATAAAAGCCTAATGAAAGTATGGAAACAAAACAGTTATGGAAGTAAAAGAGCATGAAAAATATTAAAAAAAAAAAAAAAATGATATATAATTAAATCAAAAAAAAAAACCCACATCTGTGACTCTTACACAAACTCATAGAGCTAATTTTGGAGATGACATAGCCATGTTGGAAACAGAAAAAAAGTTTACTTAAGATAACACCCACCAAATAATTCACATAAGACCAGTCAAGATTTCATATTTCATGGGAATATCAACAAAAACGCTGAACCAAATCAGCAGGAATGAGCGATTGAAATGTCAATAATGGCTATAAGAAACCGGACAGTTGAACTATTCAAAACATCAAATAATCACTGTTATAGATGTATATAACTTCCTAGATTATAGGGATCACATTGATCTTGTATCCTAATAGAGATTGATCACTTACCTAGTTTAGAACACTACAAGTGTATATAAAGATGTACCATTTTATTCTATGAATGAGAAAAAGTGTGAATATTCATCCCTAATTTGTTTTACATGGTATCAAAGCTTTAAAAGATAATTAAGGTTTGGGTTTCAAATTGGGAACACCTATTTAGGGTGAGATTTGTTTGACATTGCCACCCTAGGGCGATTCAGAAGCCGCTGATCGGCAAAACGCCGAGTTTTGGCAGTCAGAATCCCTACGCGTGAGCTCCACGTGCCACCCGAAACTCCGGTCAACAATACCACATGCCGGCGCATGAGAGCGCGTCCACTGTTGACGTCTCCTCCGATTCCCTTCGTCTGCTTCGCCGACACTTGTACAGCACATTTTCGTGCTGGGTTTGGGTAATCTCTTACTAGTTACTATTGTTCTTTGTTTGGATATTTCTGAGGATTTGGTTGTGATTTCTTCAGAACTTTGTTTTCGTTTGCTTATTGGATTTTTTGCTGTGCTTTGGTCTCTGGTTGGTTGTGGGTGTTGATTGATTTGGTGTGTCACTGAAGTTTGGTTAATTTACTTTGTTTTAACCTTTTGTTGGTGTGCATTGGGATTATTGTTTGTTTAAGACATGTTTGATACAAAGCCAGTGATGGAAATGGTACCGACGATGTCGAAAATTACAGAACATAAGCTCATTGGTATAATTAATTACCATGATTGGCGTAAAACTGTTATACTGTATTTGCGGAGTATTGATAAAGATGATCATATGAATGATGATCCACCTAAGGATGATTCGAAAAAGGCAAGGCTTCGGGATGATGCTAGGTTGATTCTACAAATACGGAACTCTATTGACGGTGAGGTACTTGGCCTAATTAATCATTGTGGGTTTATTAAAGAACTGATGAATTATTTGGAGTTTTTGTATTCTGAAAAAGGGAATGTTTCTCATATTTATGAAGTGTGTAAGGCATTCTACTGTGTAGAGAAACAAGATAAATCCCTTACAACTTATTTTACGGAGTTTAAGAAGACTTATGAAGTGTTGAACATGTTGTTACCCTTCAGTGCTAATGTCAAAGTTCAACAAAAACAACGGGAGCAAATGGTAATCATGAGTTTTCTTGCAAGTCTTCCTTCTGAATTTGAGATTGCTAAGTCTCAGGTTTTAGCAAGTCCAGAGATCTCTTCATTGCAGGATGTCTTTAGTAGGGTACTTCACACAGAAGGTACCCCACCGGTTCAGTTTAGTAGTGCTCTCGTTAGTCAAAAGAATGACTATGAATCTGAGCGATCACAATTTGGAAGTCGCAACAAAGGAGGAGGGTCAAATGGTAATATGGGAGGAATTGTGTGCCACTATTGCCATAAGCCAGGACACATGAAGCGTGATTGTAGAAAGCTTCAGAACAGAAATAAAAGAAATCCCTCAACCCATGTTGCATCCACCAATGATACTTCTGATCAGTCAGTTCTTATTTCTGCAGATGAATTTGCCAAGTTTTCATTGTACCAGGAATCATTCAAAGCTTCATCTACTCCTATCACGGCTATGGCTGACTCAGGTAAGCCAAATATATGTCTCCTTTCCTCATCCTCCAAATTCGTCATTGACTCTGATGCAACAGATCACATGTCAAGTAATCCCAGTCTCTTTGCTACTTATCAATCAAAAACCTTTTTGAATGTGACTTTAGCAGATGGGTCACCATCCTACGTTCTTGGGTCTGGCACAGTTACCCCTACCCCACAGCTTCGCTTGTCAAATATCTTACATTTACCAAATTTTTCTTTCAATTTGATTTCTGTTAGCCAACTTACTCGTGCTCATAACTGTTGTGTTTTATTCTTTCCTGATTAGTGCTTGTTTCAGGATCTTACGATGAAGAAGATTATTGGTAAAGAACATGAATCTAGAGGTTTATATATTCTTGACAGACCAAAATCTACACATGTCGCTTGTTCTAGCGTTGCATCCCCGTTTCAAGCACATTGTCGTTTAGGCCATCCATCTCTTCCTTCACTGAAGAGATTGTGTCCTCAGATTAATAAAGTGTCTACATTAGAGTGTGAGTCATTTCAGTTTGCTAAACATCATCGTGTCAGTTCTAGCCCTAGAGTCAATAAAAGAGCTAATTCTCCCTTTGAATTATTTCACTCTGATGTTTGGGGTCCCTGTCCAGTTCTGTCTAAAACTGGTTTCAGATTTTTTGTTACATTTGTGGACGATTACTCTCGTATGACTTGGTTATTCTTAATGAAAAATCGTTCTGATTTGTTTTCTTATTTCTGTGCTTTTTGTGCCGAGATTAAAACTCAATTCAATGTTTCTGTTCATACATTGCGCAATGATAATGCAAAAGAATATCTGTCAGTTTCTTTTCAAAATTACATGACTCAAAATGGCATTCTTCATCAAACTTCATGTGTTAATACTCAATCTCAAAACGGAATAGCAAAACGGAAAAACAGACAACTTCTTGAAACTGCCAAAGCCTTATTATTCCAAATGAATGTTCCTAAACCATTCTGGGCTGATGCAGTTTCCACCGCCTGTTTTTTTATTAACCGCATGCCGTATTCTGTCCTCCATGGTGAGACCCCGTACAATATTCTTTTTCCTAACAAAACATTATTTCCTCTTGAACCTAGGATATTTGGTAGCACTTGCTTTGTTTGGGATGTTCGACAGTCAGTCACTAAATTAGATCCCAAGTCATTAAAATGTGTCTTTCTTGGTTATTCTCGACTTCAGAAAGGATATCGATGCTATTGTCCAAGTCTTAATAAGTATCTTGTTTCCATTGATATTGTCTTTCTAGAAGAAACATCATACTTTCCCTTTTCTCCTGCAGATCGTCAGAAGGATGATGATAATGATGATTTGTTAGTTTATACCTTCACTTCCCCTACACCGATATCTGAACCGGCTCCTATCTCTGACCCTGTCACTATTTCTGCACTTCTTGCATCGGCTCCCATCTCTGATCCTGCTCCTATCAAAGTCTACTCTCGTCGTCCAACTCCTCCTGCTTCATGTCTGGCACCAACTTCTTTGTCATCCGATCCAGTTTCAAGTGATGATCTTCCTATTGCATTGCGAAAAGGTAAACGATAGTGTACTTATCATGTTTCTTCTTGTGTTTCTTATGATCATTTGTCACATTCATCATGCTCCTTTATTGCTTCCTTTGATTCTATTACTATCCCTAAAACGGTTCATGAAGCTCTTTCTCATCTTGGTTGGCGTAATACAATGATAGAGAAAATGAATGCCTTAGATGACAATGGTACTTGGAAATTGGTAGCTTTACCTTCAGATAAACAGGCAATAGGATGCAAATAGGTGTTTACAATTAAAGTTAATCCAGATGGGTCAATTGCTCGGCTAAAAGCTCGTCTGGTTGCTAAAGGATATGCTCAGACCTACGGAGTTGATTATTCTGATACTTTTTCCCCTATGGCTAAGTTCACCTCTATTCGGCTATTTATCTATATGGCAGTTACTTATGATTGGCCTTTGCATCAGCTAGACATCAAGAATGCTTTTCTTCACGGCGATCTTCAGGAAGAGGTATATATGGAGCAACCTTCTGGGTTTGTTACCCAAGGGGAGTATGGGAAAGTATGTTATCTTCGCAAATCTCTGTATGATTTAAAACGAAGTCCTCGTGCTTGGTTTGGAAAGCTTAGTCAGGCTGTTAAGAGATTTGGTATGCTGAAATGTAAAACTAACTATTCTGTTTTCTACAAACAGTCTGAAACTGGCATCATTCTTCTAGTTGTGTATGTGGATGATATTGTTATTATTGGGAGTGATAGTGTGGGTGATAGAAACCCACTCCAATAACTTAACAATTTGGACTAGGCTATGGGTCTTTCATGGGCTAGGGTAGAACTCTCCTTAGAAAACCGGCTTGCTAAGGGAGGGTGTCCAAGCCTTTATAACCCACATGCCCACCATTTTCCCTTTCAATGTGGGATCCTAACATTCCACCACGCTTCCGCAACTGACGTCCATGTCGGCCTTTTTACCCTCATCAACCTCTTTACCCCTTGGGTGACTACGCGGATCCCCTTTTCCCTCCGGCCTCCATGCCCTTTCTCGAGGTAGCAGCCTGGCCTAAGGTCAGCCTGTCACGCGTGTGTTGCCACATAAGCGCAGGATCATGCTCTGATACCAATTGATAGAAACCCACTCCAATAACTCAAGAATTTGAGCTGGGCCATTGGGTCTTTCATGGGCTTGGGTAGAACTCTCCTTGGAAAACCAGCTTGCCAAGGAAGGGTGCCCAAGCCTTTATAACCCACATGCCCACCCTTTTCCCTTCCAATGTGGGATCCTAACAGTGGGCATCACATCTCTTAAGTCTTTTATCTATACCCAGTTCCACACAAAAGACTTAGGAATATTAAAGTATTTCTTGGGGGTTGAAGTTACAAGGAGCAAACGAGGTATATTCCTCTCTCAGAGGAAATATGTGCTCGACTTATTAACCGAGACCGGGAAATTGGGGGCAAAGCCATGTAGTGCTCCGATGGTTCCTAATATGCAGCTTACGAAAGATGGTGAACTTTTTGGAGATCCTAAGAAATATAGAAGATTGGTCGGGAAGTTGAACTATCTTACGGTGACTCATCTAGATATTGCATATTCAGTAAGTGTTGTCAGTCAGTTTATGGCCTCCCCAACAGTTCATCATTGGGCGGCTTTGGAGCAGATCTTGTGTTATTTAAAAGGAGCCCCTAGACGTGATACATTATATGACAATCATAGTCACTCTCATATTGAATGTTTCTCAGATGCAAATTAGGCAGGTTCCAAGGTAGATAGAAGATCCACATCAGGCTATTGTGTCTTTGTCGAAGGAAATTTAATATCATGGAAGAGCAAGAAGCAAAATGTCATGTCATGATCAAGTGCAGAGTCGAAATATAGGGCTATGGCACAAGCTGTTTGTGAAATAATGTGGATATATCAGTTCCTGACTGAAATAGGCCTTGAAACTTCAGTACCAGCGAAATTATGGTGTGATAACCAAGCGGCTCTTCATATTGCATCTAATCCAGTGTTCCATGAACGAACAAAACACATTGAGATCAATTGCCATTTCGTCCGTGAGAAACTACAACAAGGCCTGATTTCCACTGGGTACGTGAAGACTGGAGAACAATTGGGAGATATCTTCACAAAGGCTCTGACTGGAATTCGAGTTGATTATCTTTGTAACAAGTTGGGTATGATTAATATCTATACTCCAGCTTGAGGGAGAGTGTTACAATTGTATATAACTTCCTAGATTATAGAGATCACATTGATCTTGTATCCTAATAGAGATTGATCACCTACCTAGTTTAGAACACTACAAGTGTATATAAAGATGTACCCTTTTATTCTATGAATGAGAAAAAGTGTGAATATTCATCCCTAATTCGTTTTACAATTACCTTCACAATATGATAAATCCCAAAGTCACCTCCCAAAGTGATATACTCAATCTAAGAAAATTGTACGAAGTAATTGAACTGTTACACCATGTAAAACAATTAACAATATAAAAAAATGTATCAGTTGTACACACATTGGGGCCTCTTTCAATGACTTTGATCCATTTCAAACCATTATCTTCTTCATTTTCTCTTTTTCTCACTCGACCCCCTTTCAGCTACTAACAAAAAATGAGCTGTCCAATATCTGGGCAATCTAATGTAAAGAATCAAGTCAAATTTTTCTTCATTTTAAGTAACAGTATGTCCAAGTAACCAGAACAAGTCAGCAGCTCCTTTGCAGGTCTTTCCAAGTTAGGTAAATGTATACAATAATGCATTCCAGAGTCTTGTTTGCTTGAAACTAAACTTTCACTTGACAAGTTTTGTTTTTAACCTTTCAATTCCACAAACAAGTATCATGTTCTGAGTAAACAGCATATAAGGAGAACCTATATAATTAAGCCCAATTACTCAATAATAAGATGTATTTCCCTTTATTATAATTATATAATAAGAATAATATAACCAAGTTAATCCTCCCTATTAGATGCACAAGATAGTAGTGCTTACTCTCTAGAATACACAGTAAAATAAGATATGATGGGGAATAGTGATTGCTTGCTAATACGATTGGTTGGGTCTCTTGTGGATGTACAAAAAGTCTTGGATCAAAATTTTTTTCAGACGAGGGTTGGGTCATCTGAGATGTTGGGTAGAGGGTAAGGAAAGATATAATACATAAATCATGAGAAATTTAAAAAGGATGATCACTCACTGAGTACTTATTAGAACCTATCTGTCTCTCAAACACCCTGAAGTAGTATAGCAGATACAGCCCAAACATCAATTCTGGCGCAGATGAAAAGGCAAATCCAGACACAATCAACTTCCACAAGCGAAAATTTCTGAAAATGTCCTGTCATTAAATAGAATAGAACTGATAAGAAAAAATCTCATGGTGAATGAGTCAGTTAAAACATAGAATTTCGGTAAGCCACTAAAAAACTGAAGTAGGAGAAGATACTTAGCGGTTTTTCCACCAGTAAATACTACATAACCGATGGTCCAAAGGACATCTAAAGTTTAATAATGTGTGCTATGACAATTCAGATAATGTTCACATGCACTGTTTATGGTACTGTGCAAATCCATATTCCATGGCAGTTCTCACACCCATTGTTTTGATATTATTCAAGATAATGCTCGATTCATCCATATTCGAGAAACTATCTATTAAAAAAAATTTCAAGTTTTTTCCATCAAAAAAACTCTAGAACTCCATTCAAATCTAAAATCCTAAATCCTTGTCTATACATATCTAAATTCAAAAAATCCCTGATTTTCAAAACCATCCCACATCAAAGTACAATTTCCAAAGATCATGCATGGAAAATATTTCTGCAAAGCTAAAACAACCCTAGATCATCCTTAAATAAGTTGAAGAGAAAACACTATTTTGGTCATATTCAGGCCATCAATTGTCCAAGTAACACAAAACCCAGTTCAAATTAAACATAAAAGTCAACAATAAATCACCAAAAAAAAAAAAGAGCAACAAATAACCAGTAGCACCTCATACGACAAACCAAGCTTGTTAAAACGGCCTTGGATCCCAAAGAAAACGGTGAAAATTCCACTAGCGATGACAAATGCTCTGGTCACTGGAGCATTATCTACCATAAAAAATTCAATTTCATCAATCATATATACATTTTAAATTATGAATATTAATAAATCAAAGAAACACATTATTGGTACGTACTGAAACCCGAGGGACCGCCGTTCATCTTCTCTTTCTCTTATCAGAGAAGGAGAAACCAACCACCAAATCAAAGCTGTGTGACTCGATTTTCTTTCTTTCTTTGTAATCAATGGAATTAAGAGTGTTTTTCTAATGGTTTTTTACGTTTTCTATTCGACTCCTCTTCCCTTACCTTTTTACTTCTTTTTTGCTTTCTATTATTTTTCTCATTTTATTTTTTTTCTGGTTTTGACTCCAACAATATGTTGTATCTTTTTGTGCGAACGCAGAGGGGCTTAGACATGGCCCATTCATCGGCCCAACTATGTTACATGCGAGTCCGAGCCTAAACCCAGTTCAAAGCAAAGTGACATCATATATTATATTTTTACTCTAAATTTAATGGCAACAAATTTATTAATTCCATATTATAAATAATGTATAACTACTGTAGTACACAATTAATAGATTTTTGAGCTGAGGGTGTAGGAGTCGGGTTTGTTCGTTATGTGGGCTGAATAAAATGGGTCCAAGCTCAATCATGATTAACAAATGAATTACCAAGATTCCAAGAGAATTTGCATAAAAAACATGGGACTGATAGTATGAAAGGCAAACTACCTTTGAGTGACTGAACAGTTCGATAGAGATTCTTGGGTATATTATTCAAAAGATCCTGAATTTGAGTCATTCATTGGTTGCTAATAGGGATAGTCATTGGAATTCTTATCCGGCCAATAGTTTCAGAATCCTAAAGGATTAGCTAAAGTGCACGTAAACTGGTCCGAATACCTCTGGTCATTAAAAAAATATATATATCGATAGTAAACTCAATGTTTTCCCATTGTTTTTATCTTATTTTGTCTCTTAATCTTTCTCAGATCACCCAATAATTAGATACACATGAATAATGTGTTTGTTTGAGTACTATCTCTTGAGAAAATTTCAGATTAGTGAATGATTATCAGGTGACAAAATATCTATTTGGTTCGTAGTTAGCCGGAGATCTTATGAGGAAGACAAGGGCCCATAAAGTTTAGATGGGCTAGTAGAACGAACTTAATGGCCCAACAACATCTTTGAAGCCCAGCTCTTAAGTTTTGTATCGAAATGAGCTCGGCTCAACTGAGTTCAGTTTGTGATGGAAATGGAATAGAGATGGGTCAGGAATCAGGATGTTGAATTTTATGTAGTAGAATAGGGTAATGTTTAACCAACTCTTGAGGCTAAAACATAAACTCCATTTACCTTTCCTACCTTCAGTGGGCACTATATAGGTTAATGAAATGAGGCATATACTTCTTGAACCTACTTCCTGCAGTAACTTTTGTTATGCACTTCTGAATGGTATAACAATCACAAGAAACTGGCCTATTTGTTTTATCATGGGTTGGGAATTTTAGCCACCAACGTTACAGCAGCATAAGTAAAATCAGAGACTTGTATGGATCAAACTTGCTTGAAACCATGAGCTTTGTTTTCATTCATTGGTTGAGACTTTTTCTAGATGAAAGTTTCATGTCATCAAACATTTGATATTACAGCTAAAGCTGAAGAAATTCAAAGCAAATGGTAAAAGAAAAACCATCAATCACAGACAGTTTCAAATCTCAGGAAACTATTACCATGCACTTAAAGCTAATAGAGGCAATTCTTTTTTCGCTGAAGATGTGTTGAATTTGCAACAGAAAAATTAGCTAGCTAGGTTGCTATTCATTTTCAATGAGTATCGACGAAGATTACATATCTTGGTAAAAACCTTTTGAGGCTCTCTCCTCTGTGAAGAGCAAAATTAATCAAGTTTAATCTACTCTACATCTTCTATGATTAATCCCTTCCAATTCTCAGTTCAAAAGGAAAAGAAGAAGAGAGGGCTTATGTACGGGCTAAATAACATTTTCATCATATTCTAGTCCAAGGCACGGGCAGGCCAGAGGCTCTTCCACATTGCTATCTCTTCCTCCTTGTAAAGCTTTCTGATTCCTCCATAAAACCCATCAGCTTCATTGCCTACTTCGCGATGCTCTTTCCTGTTTATCATTGTTTGTCTCCATTGCGAGCCAGCAGGATATTGGTTGAACTCCAAAACCATCATATCTGTCAGCAAAGACATCATAGTCAGATTCCCTACTCTAACATGGTGGTCAAATAACAATCTATGCTAATATTTGTTAATGAAAATTTTTCGCAGTTGAGTGCAGCAAAAAGTCATTAAATTGAATTCAAAAGAAGTACATTCTTGATTATGAAAATGCTATCACAACCAATTTACTTACCACTATAGTGACAATGGCAGTGATTCCCATTTCTTTCACATGATTCCAAGTGACCAACAACACCATACCACCAACCTGCAATACATTAAGCTCAGATTTTTCAATATTATACCAGCAAAGGATTACTGTTACACAATGAATTCATAGTGACAAATATTTAGCCTCTAGGGATAAATTGAAGAGTTTAATAGTCATTAGAGATACAAAACGCACCAAAGGGGAATTCTTTGTTTCTTCTCCACTGGATCTCAATATGATCACCAGGTTTCAAGTCATCTAAACAATCTGAGATGTGAAGAACATTTGAAGGAGTATCAGTTGGTGGAGCTCTTAGCCTATCCCATGATATATTTTCCTCGACTGTCCGCCGCCCAAGGTTCGAATACCTGCAAAATAAAATCCATTTCAAGTTCAATAGAATGCCCTGCTTTGCATACGAGCTTTAAAAGCATATATCAATATCCTACCCAGCTGCTAATTGCTAAACTTGAATTCACTTTTCAGAAACTTTTAGTAATATAAAGGCATTGATTCTAGTTCTAAAAAGTTTTTGAGTGATAAAAAGCATAAGAAGAAAGTTAATCAAAGAAGGCATCTCTTTTTTATTTACCTTGCTCGAAACGTGTTCGTTCGGGAATCATAGCTAAGCTGAGCATCATAACATGATAGCATAAACCCAGCATGTCCATTCTGCCACCAAACACACGGAATTTCAATGAATTGTGGAGTGACAAATACAAAATACAAAATACAATTGTTTTATATGTAAACACAGAACAAACAAGAGCAGAGGTGAAATTAACTAAACGCCAAGTTGCAATTAAAAAATCAACAATTGCAGATAATTACCTCGCGATTATAGACCTGTGCAGGGAACCAGAATTTGCCACTCTCAAGAGAGACATAACAAGCCATAATTGAATCAACAGGCAAAGAACTTCTTGGCTCAATATTGTTCTCAATCTTCGGTCTAATCCAAGAAAAGGGCAAAAGGCTATAAAGAGAAGTGAAAAATCCATTTTGCTTGGTTTGGTTCTTGAGGCTTGCTCTCTTGTTAGAAACTATGTGCCATTGCCATTCTCTATAAGCAGCATCACCAATCAAATTCCCCCATTTCTGCTTCATGTGTTTCTCCCACAAATGATCACTTGTACATCTATCTCTCAAAGAACTACAAACTCCAGCCATACTACACAACCCAGTTGGTGAAAGCTTCTCTAGAATGCATTCCAAAGTTAACTCGGGCAAATCCAAGAGAGAAAGTTTCTCTTCTGGAACAGTTTCTGGTTTCGAAGGACCAAGATTCATCTTTTTTAATGGCATGATTTTTGGAACTTGATGAAAACTAATTGCAAGCCTACCCTTTTGGAACCATGACACTAAAAAGCTTGACAATCCCTTCCAAAACCAAGATGACAACAATCTCCAGTCAGTGATCATTGGAGGATATGGCTTGAAAGAGAAGGACTTTGATAGGATTATAAAAGAAAAACAAGAAATCAAGAAGAAAAACATTGAAATAAGAGTGAGTTTCCAAATGGGGTGAGTTAGTTTGAGAATTAAATGAAAGGAAGAAGCAAAGCATAGAAATGAGACAACGGTGTCATGCAATGAAACCACATATATAAATAAATAAATATTAATATTAATATTACTATGTACATGAAAATGACTATGAAAGATCCACCAATGGAGAGAAAAAGAGAGTTGATTTTGGGCAAAATCAACGGAGTAGTCAAGTGAGCTCAGAGATTTAAAATTGTATTTAATATAAAGACATCTGTAGACACCTCAACCGACAAAACATTGACTGCTGGTTAGTTATGATGCCACCAAACTGAAATAGAGAACAGGAAACAAAGTTCTTAAATGCGACATTGAGATTGAGGCATTTAGCCACATACAATGAATTCCCACCACTGAGAAAGGAGAGTGGAGGACAGTTGGCAGTTGAACATTGAAAGATTATAAGAGGGCCAAAAAATGAAGGAATAAAATCTGGAGAAACAGAAGCTTGTTGGATTTTTCTTTTTGCTCAGATTCTATCAAGAGCTGAGCCACGTGTTAAAATCTATGAATTCTTTTGGAAACTGACCAAACGTCAAGATTACAATGGTCGGAGTGTTAGTTGAGCTAAACACTCAAAAAAAAAAAAAAAACTTTTAATTGCAGATGTATGATGATTGATGATGATGAGGATGAGGATGAACTCAAAGTGGGTCCTCTACAAAGTCATCAAAAAATACTAATCACAAGTAAAGACTGTAATATGAAAGATGGGAGTTTTGGGGAGAGTGAAATGAAGACAATTAAAGGCAAAAACTTTATGGCTGGTTGCTATTGTGACTTGTCATAAAGCCATAAGGGCCAGTCACCAATCCTTTGCCTAACTTCTACCAAACACTCAACTCAACTCAACACTTCCACCACATACATCACAAACCATAGAAATTGGAAAACAAATCATGTCCCAACATGGGAATTACTGAAGATGATGTTAATGTTTATAAAGATTTGGTGCTGGTAGTAAGCTAACATTATTGGTCGTTAAAAAAGAGAGAAGGGGGGTCCTCCACCATTGCCTTGTTACAATTTATGATGCTTCCAATGCTCTCCTTTCTTGTTCTACTCTCCTTCTCTATTTCTTTATTTTTTTTTATTTTTTTATTTTTATTTTTTTTTTGTCATTATCTAATGCTGAGTATGTTGAACTTAGAAGATGCTCATCTTTTGCTTGTGATCTCTTTAATCTAACCGTTTACCATGCTCGTGGGTTCATGAATTGGGTGATTTATGGGTGGCGAATTGGTCAAATTTAGGCCATAATCAATAACTGAACTTTCTATATTTTAATTAGACCAGAGAAACGTGTTTACAACTTCTTTTTATTTTTCTATCCAAATTTTCAATGCAGAATTTCTTAGGGTAAACCCAGTAGCCGTCATAATACACTTTTATAAGACATTAATTTATTACGTATCATATGAATTATTTATCAAAAATTTAACTTTTTTTTTTTTTTTTAATGACATAGGATGTTTAGGTCAGTTTACGCACACCTCAATTAATTCGCTGAGACCCTAGAACTATCGACTTAGTAAGAGTTCCAGTTGTTATACCTATTAGCACCCGAAGAGGAACTTAAATTCAGAATCTCTTGAGTAATACACTTCAAAGTTCTTATCAAACTATTTGACTACCTAGATATAGTTAAAAATATTAACTCCATAAATCTGAGTTTTCCTATTCAACTTCATGCTTTCTCAAACGTTGAAAAAAGATTGAAAGAAATAATAATGTCACTCAAGGTTCTTGAAGCTCCATCATATATATATATATATAGAATCACTATTGAATCCTATGTTGGGTTGGTGGGCTCGGCAGAAGTTTCTTGGCTTCTTCTTCTTTTTTTGTTGCAGAAATGGATGAGTTCACTTTGGTAGACTTTAACATTAAAAGGGGTATCTGATTGAGCATGACAATAGACAATTTTAATTTTTGATTTTTCATATGGGATTTTTATTAGTCATTACCTTGACTATGACTATCTTTCTTTATCTAGTTGCAAATCAAACTTGGATATCAAGACTTTGAGGAGGTTTGGTCATTTTAGGTGTAGTTAATAGTTTATCACGAAACTGTAGGACGTTTGAAACTTTACAATCTCTCAAATGATGAATAAAATTGACTTTTAATAAATAAGTAAAAAATGAAACTTGAAATGTAATATTGCTGAAAAATAACAACTGACAACTCTAAGTAGTCCCACAAATTTTTGGCTTTTGTTTTGTCAAATGAATTGAATATATTAAAGAAGGATTATACTACATGATCCACATTCATGAATTAGAAGAAAGTTAAAAAGACTTGGAAACTAATGGATGGTAGAAGCTGTCTCCAATTAAAAATTGAATATAATGTCCAAAAGAGAATAATAATATTGAGGTAATTAATATAATGTTAGAATATTATTATTGGGGGTGGTGGGGACCCTCTAAATGGAATCATAATCAGAGGAAAAAAAAAATCATTTTGATTTGTGATGCTCCAAATCTTTGATTCACTAGTGTGGGTGTGGTAAGCAAAAGAACAAACTCAATTGGATTAAGACCACCATTTCATATAAGAACAAGGAACCCACCATTACAAGGCTCAAGATTGGTGTGACATTAACATTACTAAATGGAATCCACAAAGAAAAAGAAACCCAAATTCAAGGGTTGCTTTTTAAGACTATTAAGTGGAGATTTAGAATCAAAATAAAAATCAAATTTAATTATGTTAAAGATGAGATAATTAACAAAGCAAACGATTAGGTTTAGGTTTTAGGGTGGTGTGGGTTACAACTTACACATAATCACATTGTGATTAGATTCCTTTTGTATGTGGATGTGGGGAACATCCATTCTTTTTATGCCAAAACTTCTGCTAATTTTTTAATATTTGGCACAAAATCCTCAAAATATTTACTGAGAAAAAAAAAAAGTCAAGAGTAACCCCGAGGGATTGGTCTGACAGTTAAAGAGGTTTGCTTCATTTATTGAGTTTTTAGGTTTAAACTTTGGGATCATCTACTATATTGTGACTTACCTAATCCTTTAGACTTGTAAAATGATTAATGGACCTTGGGGATTAGTTAAGGTATGTACAAGCTGGTCTGAACACCCATATTACCACTAAAAAGAAAAAAAAAAAGGCAAGAGTATAGACTTTCTCTTTGACACTAAAATGGTACTTTAGTTGACGAATATGATGTGTTTGCATTAGCCAACTTCAAATTATCATTATTTTTCCATTAAAAACTCATGTCTTAATACTTTTGGATATGTTGCTATTGTCACATGTTTGAAAAACTTTCAAATTAGGGTGGCTAAGCAAAGCCATCACTGAGATTGAGAATCTAGGTATTTTCCCATGTGAATCATGTCAATTATTGTGCAAATTTTGCACGTTTCGATAATTTTTTTTTTTATAAAATTTACTGAGCAAATTTTTTTTTTTTTTTTTAATCCTTGTTCATATGATACTTTACAAAAAGATGTGAATGATAGAATTATAAGACATAAATTTGAAGAAGCCAAAAGCAATGAAACAAGAAAGAATAACACTTACCTTTCTACCTTATAATTAATGTTTGAAATTCTCATTGTGGGACGACATTTTTGTCTTTCAATTTGTAATATGATACAACTTTTCCTATTTAAGATACATTATTATAGCATATAATAATGACCCATAATCCTCCATTCACCCACTTTAAATAATCATTTTTTTTTAATGATTTTGGAGATAAGTGCCCCATATCACTAACATTTTTTTTTTTAAACCTGATACCTAGGAAACTAGGTAGGATGATATTTTATTAAGAAAAAGAAAAGTAAATATCCATGTATTAGTAAAATATCCAAAAATCATAAAAAGAATCATAAAAAAAGATGAGATATTATTAAGTTTTCAAGTGTTTTAATAATTTTTCTAAACAATAAATACCCTTTAGATAGGCTTTATATTTTAAAAGGGAGATTTTTTTTTTCTTCTAAAGATGTTTTGATTTTTTTTTTTTTTTAAGAGGTATTTAATCATTTTCGAAAATTACTTGAGCGTTTCAAACTTAACTTTATTTAGTGAGACAGATGAAATTAACCCAAAAAAATAATAAGAATAAGAATAAGAATATTCCTTAGCAATTAGTAGATACTAATTAATTTAGTTGGTTTGATCTCTTAGGATTGTATAAAAGATTTTAGAATCTAATCATTTAAATATATAAACTTAAAAACAAAACAAACAATATCCATTGAGTAATTAGCTATATGTTTTCAATAATGTTGAGGCATTGAATTAGGATTAATAATGGAGTAGCTAAAAAGTTGTGATGATATTATTCTCCAAATCTTTGGTGCACTTAGAAAGAAAATATGCTTCAACCCACATAACGTAATTGATTCTCAAAGCAATTCAAATGGCACTTTCCCACCTCTTGCCATCATTCATCAAGAAACAAGAGAAGAGAAAGAGAATAGGTTGGCTATAATATAAAGATAAAAGATATGAAAATTAAATAAAGAGGTTAAGTGGTCCACTTAGCAAATTAAAAAATGGCTTCTTCATTTTGTGCTAGAATGATAGGAGACTAGAATTTAAGTATGGGAGGCCTAACAGGGTTCAAGTGGGGTCTTGCCCTTTTATTAACAAAGCTTTGTGGGGGTCTCTCTACTTTTTGCTCTATGACCATATTGAACAAGCCAATGGATAAGATTTTTTTACTTTATTTTCTTATATAAGTAACATGAAACCTTGCACTTTTTAAGGTTATAATTGTTCTATTTGATATTGTTTATGTTACATTATTGGATCTTGTACTATTGGTTAATACAAGAGAATTTGGGAAATTATTTCTTATACTATCAAATTGTTAAAATGTTTTGTTTTATTGTGTTTAATTGAACTATATATATATATATATATAAAGAGTTAAAAACAATGAAGTTTTTTTTTTTTTTCTTATGGGAACAAAACAATCTCAAACAATGAAAAGATGATGATAGAAGAGAAAATTACTTTTAAAATGCATTATACGAATATAATAACAACAATAAAAAGAGAAAAATTAATAAAGCAAGACCTTGTTCAATTGAGTCACAAGGAAATCTGAAATATTGATTCATTTTTGTTGCAACAAGCTTAATTAAGTAGCCCACCAAGAATATCATCATCAATTGCCTTCAGTGTGAATTCCACAAAGTTGGTAGCCTACATTATTGTCGTTGCCCTTGTCCCTCTGTTTATTAATTTAACCTCCATGTCAATTTCAGCTTCATTCTGAAATTTTATTTCTGATAACAGACTGATGTGATTCACACTCACTCATAAACGCATAAATTATAACCTCTACATCCCTGTAAATCATTCTATTTCATCATCAAACTACACACATCGCTAAGGCCATTGCACAAAACTTTTTTCTGTTTTCAATTGAGAGATGGTGACGCTAGATGCCTCAATTCTTTTATAAAGAAACAAGAGACAGTTGCAGTGACTTCAAATCTGAAACTGTGACGTAGAAAGCGAGATAGAGATGATAATAACTTCCAAACAACAAACATGAAAAGCGAACCCATTTTGAGATTTAAAGGCAACAATGTTCAAGTGACAATTTTCATTTTCCAAGATCTGAAATGCCCAATAGCAGAAACCAAGTTCCGTAACAAGCTGTCGGTGTAAAAACACAAGAGCTAAGATTCTTGAACACGAGTACAACAAAATGTCATAAATTATGATGGAGAGAGAAAACAGTCCCGGATTGATGCTTAAAGACCCAATCCAACAGTGCGTCCATCTCTCCGTCGAAGTCCAGCTGTGTACTGCTTCTCCAAATCCAGCTGTAGTTCCCTCTGCTTGTCCGCTTGGAGGGGACCGCTGCCATCTTGATTGTTGGGTTTGTGCTCTACCTTCACTTCGCCCTTCACACCCTACAATTGGCCATATGTACCAAGGCAACCTCAGACTCTAAAACGGTGTTAGTAGGTGAATAAACTCTAACTGAGACTAGTCATACAGGAACATGCAACAATAGGTTCTGTTTCGATGTTATCAGAGCAGACAAAACATATTGAAAGCAAGCCTATACAGAAAGACAGAGACATTGATTTGCAGTTGGCATATATAGCAGTCGGAAAAAGATATTTACCATGAGTTTGTTGAACTTCTCTTGTCGATCACGATCACCAAACAATGCAGTGTCCCAGCGATGAACAGACTGCAAAAATTGTTACCAGGTACTTTAATAAGAAAATGTGGACACATAAAAAGAAAAGAAAAAGGAAAAGAAAGAGATTCATAGGAGATAGCACAAAGGATCCAACAAGCCACATATGTAGGTAAGGGAACATACTGGAAATACCTCTTCTGTGGTTGTACTCTTTTTGTTTCCCCACAATAGCTTCTTCTTTTGATCAGTGGACATGTAACCACCCCCAACAAGGTTCTTATTAACTGTATGAAAAAAAAAAGATCCAACTGAGAACAATGTCATGGAGTATCAGTGATATGAATTCATTAAGTTAATGGGAACTACATATAGGGAGACAAGGGCATCGATTTAAGATTTAACCTTTAAGTAATGCTGCACTTACAAATTTAGTATCCCTACTGATGTGAGAGTTTATTTGGCATACTTATATTACTTACCACATCATCATACCATTTATATGTTGTCGACAAACCAGGTGCCACATTACTTAGGATAAAAAGTTAGAATATTTATTTTGTTAAGTGCAATATTACTCATAACCTTTTCATTTCTTTCCCAAGCATTCAATGGCATACGATAATTAGAAATAATAAGCAAGAAAACCCAAAAGTAAAACAATAATATTCAGCAAATATACAAATATTGAGTAAGGATAACATCCTTGGTAGTTGATTTAGGACAGGCTGGCCAGCAATTGTCTAGCAATAATCTACTGGCCCAAGTAGTATATTGACTTGCTAAGGTGTGAAAAAGCAAGTCAGAAGTAATAAGCAAGAAAGCCCAAAAGTATCCCAACATGCTTTGCAAGTTTAAAACTAAACTAAGTTTCATGACCAAGAATTCATTTGGACTTGGAAACACAAAAACACAGTCAGAACACTAGAATTAAATAACTCAATGAAACTGTTCTTCCATGCCTTAGGAAGGAAGAAATGACACCTTGTCCATTTCATACCAACAACAATGGGATATTACTAACAAAATGATCATATTACCAATTACCAAATAAAAATGAATAAATTGCGGAGCAGCACCTATCCGAGCAGTTAGAGAAAAAGAAGCCAGATCAAGAATTAATGACCTAGAGTAAAATACTAATTGCCCTCCATTTCCCTAACTAACAAAAGAAAGACATGAGATTCTAATTCACAAGCCAATGATATCGTAAAACTAAGATATCATGTAAAGCATTTTTCAATAGTATATAACACTAATAATTTCATATGGAGATGGTAACTATATACAGGCATTTCATACCTAATTCAGCAGCTTTCATTGCGGCAACTTTTGCAGCATCTAGACCATTTGTGACAGAGTCACCGTCATCAGCCTGAGAAAGAGCCACATTACCACCAGTTCCCTGAGCTTGCTTTGAATTTGAAGACATCTTTTCGGCAGCTACAGTTGTAGATGACTTTACAATTAATCATACAACAAGATAATGATCAAATGCACATCAAACAATAGAAAGACAGGTAGAGATAATTAGTAATGCATAAACAAAATGATTACCATCTTTCACAAAATCAGCGCCTTTATCCCAGTTCGAAAACTTTGTTTTTTTGGTCAGAGTTTCTTGATTTTCACTTGCAAAATTAGCTTTTTCTCTATAGTACATGTCCTTGTCCCTGTTTGTTTCCTGATCATCATATTTTCTCTTCTCCCCTTTGGCAAGCTTTTGGCCATCCAGTTCCTTCGAGTCACTCTTACACACTTCTTTTAAGCGATGCCCACCATGGTTCCTTCCAGAAGATGAATCGTTTCGATGACCCCTCGATTCTTCATGGGTGACTGCACGATCATTTCTATAGTCTCCCGAACTCCTCCGATAATCTCTTCTTTCATCTCTGCCATCCCTATCCCGCTTATGCCAATCTTTATCTGTCTCTTCAGAATTTAAGCTAGTCTGTCTCCTAGCAGATCCAGTTCTGTCAGATGAGGAATCCTTATCTTTATATTTCTGACGCTCTAAGTATGATGATTCTTTCTCCTTATCCTTGCTTCTATGCCCAGTAACATCATTTCTGTCACGAATAGATATGTCAGCACTACTCAAATAGTCTTTAGACCTACTAAGATCACTTTCTTGTCTTGGATAATCAGAATGAGTACTAGTTCTTGACTCCCAACCAGAACGTGAGGATAACCTCTGATAATTTCTCTCTTCGTCATTTGCATGCTTGTCATGTCTGCCATAATCATTATGCCTAGAGTAACCATGGGAACTCCTGGAGGATTGGCGATCAGAATGTCTATATGAACCACTACCTCTACCATACTGGCTTAGACCAGAATCCCTGTCTAATTCCCTCTCGCCATCCCTCCTCCTTTGTCGATGTTCAGAGGCTTTTGCAGGATCTTCCCTTGAAAAGACTGGGCTAGAGCTCCGGTCATGTTTAGGACTCCCTATATACAAAGAAACATGATACTTACACACAAAATAACCAACGAGAATACTGACAACAAAACAAGCTTCAAACTGCTTTGTGATCCTGGATATATTGTCAGAATATCAGTTCATAAACAATTCTCATTTTCAACCCATAGCATCACCAGCAAAGACCAAGCCAAAGACACTATTATTTCAGCAATAATTGCACTCCAAGATAACCTTAATGAAAAGTAATATATCAATCCAAAGCTGTGTGATTGCAGCAATCTGTATTGAGTTTTTATATCCAAAATACAAGTGACAAACACCAAAGACTTATGTTATTCCTTTATTTTCACTATTAAATGTTGAAAACAAGAATCCCATTTAAATTCACAACACAAAATCCATCTCAACTCCAGCAGATAACGAAATATACGAGAACCTAGCACTGGGTAATTCTACAACCATGCCCACAGAATAGGCCCATGGTCAGCTAAACTTGGTAACAGTTTTTTTCTTCCCACTCCAACTAAAAATAACATCATGCTACCTTCTGCAATTCTCCCACCCGCACATTGTCTAAGTAAAAGCAAAAACATGACCAAGTTATGTACTCGAAAGTGCACTCAGCCACATGCGGAATTTTTTGGGTCAAGAAACTGTTCTACATTAATAATAAATTACTTGTTAACATGCTCGCAGGATACTGACATAAACTCAAATTGTAGTAGATCAAAGACCATGGAAAACTAACCATCAGACGAAGACGACCTGTTAACTGGAGAACGACGCCGATATTTCCTACAACCCGCATCATTTAAGGGCTTGCGAAATGCTCCTTTTGCGTCCGCAGCATCTGGACGTGAAGAAGATTGCATCCTGTAAAAACCCCAGAAGGATAATAAACATATTAAAGCATCACAACTTAATAGCAAATAATCAAAAACACACCCAGAGACCCTAAACGACAAACCCTAACTAAATAACAACAACAATTAGATGCAAAAACAGAAACCCTTAAACCATTGTGCCTTTGGGTTCCTTTATTATTCAAATTTGTACAAAAAATAAATGGCGAAAATGGGGTTAAAAAGGAAAACAAAGAGATTCATAGGAGATAGCACAAAGGATCCAACAAGCCACATATGTAGGTAAGGGAACATACTGGAAATACCTCTTCTGTGGTTGTACTCTTTTTGTTTCCCCACAATAGCTTCTTCTTTTGATCAGTGGACATGTAACCACCCCCAACAAGGTTCTTATTAACTGTATGAAAAAAAAAAAAATCCAACTGAGAACAATGTCATGGAGTATCAGTGATATGAATTCATTAAGTTAATGGGAACTACATATAGGGAGACAAGGGCATCGATTTAAGATTTAACCTTTAAGTAATGCTGCACTTACAAATTTAGTATCCCTACTGATGTGAGAGTTTATTTGGCATACTTATATTACTTACCACATCATCATACCATTTATATGTCGTCGACAAACCAGGTGCCACATTACTTAGGATAAAAAGTTAGAATATTTATTTTGTTAAGTGTAATATTACTCATAACCTTTTCATTTCTTTCCCAAGCATTCAATGGCATACGATAATTAGAAATAATAAGCAAGAAAACCCAAAAGTAAAACAATAATATTCAGCAAATATACAAATATTGAGTAAGGATAACATCCTTGGTAGTTGATTTAGGACAGGCTGGCCAGCAATTGTCTAGCAATAATCTACTGGCCCAAGTAGTATATTGACTTGCTAAGGTGTGAAAAAGCAAGTCAGAAGTAATAAGCAAGAAAGCCCAAAAGTATCCCAACATGCTTTGCAAGTTTAAAACTAAACTAAGTTTCATGACCAAGAATTCATTTGGACTTGGAAACACAAAAACACAGTCAGAACACTAGAATTAAATAACTCAATGAAACTGTTCTTCCATGCCTTAGGAAGGAAGAAATGACACCTTGTCCATTTCATACCAACAACAATGGGATATTACTAACAAAATGATCATATTACCAATTACCAAATAAAAATGAATAAATTGCGGAGCAGCACCTATCCGAGCAGTTAGAGAAAAAGAAGCCAGATCAAGAATTAATGACCTAGAGTAAAATACTAATTGCCCTCCATTTCCCTAACTAACAAAAGAAAGACATGAGATTCTAATTCACAAGCCAATGATATCGTAAAACTAAGATATCATGTAAAGCATTTTTCAATAGTATATAACACTAATAATTTCATATGGAGATGGTAACTATATACAGGCATTTCATACCTAATTCAGCAGCTTTCATTGCGGCAACTTTTGCAGCATCTAGACCATTTGTGACAGAGTCACCGTCATCAGCCTGAGAAAGAGCCACATTACCACCAGTTCCCTGAGCTTGCTTTGAATTTGAAGACATCTTTTCGGCAGCTACAGTTGTAGATGACTTTACAATTAATCATACAACAAGATAATGATCAAATGCACATCAAACAATAGAAAGACAGGTAGAGATAATTAGTAATGCATAAACAAAATGATTACCATCTTTCACAAAATCAGCGCCTTTATCCCAGTTCGAAAACTTTGTTTTTTTGGTCAGAGTTTCTTGATTTTCACTTGCAAAATTAGCTTTTTCTCTATAGTACATGTCCTTGTCCCTGTTTGTTTCCTGATCATCATATTTTCTCTTCTCCCCTTTGGCAAGCTTTTGGCCATCCAGTTCCTTCGAGTCACTCTTACACACTTCTTTTAAGCGATGCCCACCATGGTTCCTTCCAGAAGATGAATCGTTTCGATGACCCCTCGATTCTTCATGGGTGACTGCACGATCATTTCTATAGTCTCCCGAACTCCTCCGATAATCTCTTCTTTCATCTCTGCCATCCCTATCCCGCTTATGCCAATCTTTATCTGTCTCTTCAGAATTTAAGCTAGTCTGTCTCCTAGCAGATCCAGTTCTGTCAGATGAGGAATCCTTATCTTTATATTTCTGACGCTCTAAGTATGATGATTCTTTCTCCTTATCCTTGCTTCTATGCCCAGTAACATCATTTCTGTCACGAATAGATATGTCAGCACTACTCAAATAGTCTTTAGACCTACTAAGATCACTTTCTTGTCTTGGATAATCAGAATGAGTACTAGTTCTTGACTCCCAACCAGAACGTGAGGATAACCTCTGATAATTTCTCTCTTCGTCATTTGCATGCTTGTCATGTCTGCCATAATCATTATGCCTAGAGTAACCATGGGAACTCCTGGAGGATTGGCGATCAGAATGTCTATATGAACCACTACCTCTACCATACTGGCTTAGACCAGAATCCCTGTCTAATTCCCTCTCGCCATCCCTCCTCCTTTGTCGATGTTCAGAGGCTTTTGCAGGATCTTCCCTTGAAAAGACTGGGCTAGAGCTCCGGTCATGTTTAGGACTCCCTATATACAAAGAAACATGATACTTACACACAAAATAACCAACGAGAATACTGACAACAAAACAAGCTTCAAACTGCTTTGTGATCCTGGATATATTGTCAGAATATCAGTTCATAAACAATTCTCATTTTCAACCCATAGCATCACCAGCAAAGACCAAGCCAAAGACACTATTATTTCAGCAATAATTGCACTCCAAGATAACCTTAATGAAAAGTAATATATCAATCCAAAGCTGTGTGATTGCAGCAATCTGTATTGAGTTTTTATATCCAAAATACAAGTGACAAACACCAAAGACTTATGTTATTCCTTTATTTTCACTATTAAATGTTGAAAACAAGAATCCCATTTAAATTCACAACACAAAATCCATCTCAACTCCAGCAGATAACGAAATATACGAGAACCTAGCACTGGGTAATTCTACAACCATGCCCACAGAATAGGCCCATGGTCAGCTAAACTTGGTAACAGTTTTTTTCTTCCCACTCCAACTAAAAATAACATCATGCTACCTTCTGCAATTCTCCCACCCGCACATTGTCTAAGTAAAAGCAAAAACATGACCAAGTTATGTACTCGAAAGTGCACTCAGCCACATGCGGAATTTTTTGGGTCAAGAAACTGTTCTACATTAATAATAAATTACTTGTTAACATGCTCGCAGGATACTGACATAAACTCAAATTGTAGTAGATCAAAGACCATGGAAAACTAACCATCAGACGAAGACGACCTGTTAACTGGAGAACGACGCCGATATTTCCTACAACCCGCATCATTTAAGGGCTTGCGAAATGCTCCTTTTGCATTCGCAGCATCTGGAGGTGAAGAAGATTGCATCCTGTAAAAACCCCAGAAGGATAATAAACATATTAAAGCATCACAACTTAATAGCAAATAATAAAAAACACACCCAGAGACGCTAAACGACAAACCCTAACTAAATAACAACAACATTTAGATGCAAAAACAGAAACCCTTAAACCATTGTGCCTTTGGGTTCCTTTATTATTCAAATTTGTACAAAAAATAAATGGCGAAAATGGGGTTTAAAAAAAAAAAAAAAAAAAAGCCTACTGTAATAAGAACACTTGATAACGTAATATTGATGAGATTGTAATAAAAGTAGTGTGAGAAAATGAATTAAAAAGAACCTGAAAAAGGTATATGGGGCTCAATTGAAGAAAAATTGGTTCATTTAGTGAGTAAAATTGATGGGTTGATGATATTTAGGTTTAGGGTTTGTTTGAATTTGATTTAGGGCTTTAAAATTAAGCTACAAAGAGGTGGGAGTTGAAATCGGAGAAGCTCAAACACACTGTGGATTCTCTACGTGTTGAGTGTTCATTTGCTTTTTAATAAGAATATAACAAAACTGGGGAATAAATATCTCCATTACCATTGCTACTTTTTTATATTTTGTTTGTTCCATAATACCCCTTTATTGCAGTAGATATTTTTTCAAAATCTTTCTCAAAATTTTATCCTTAATAGTACATAGAGGTGGGAATTAGGCCTGGCCCAAAGGACTCGGCCCAAAAACCCGGTCTTAGGACCAAACCAGACCCAAGGGTAGGAGGGATTGGGCCAGGCCCAAGCCGGTTCCTCCTCCAAAGCCCGAGCCCAAACCCTCTCCCCATTTCATTAAACCTTCGTAAAATATCTAAAACCTCCTATTTAAAAATTGACACTAAATATGGGGGTTATAAATAATTTTACAAAAAATATAAAAATAAATAAATAAGACCCATCTGGGCCTTAAGAAATCTCATAGCCCAAGACGGACTGGTCCCAATTTGAGAGGGCCCTTGCCCACCTCTCAATTATACATCTTTCATTCTCTCATATTTTTCAATTGAGTTAACTACTTTTTATCACACAAATTTAACGACATTTTTTTATCCATTGACTTTTAAAATACTATTTTATTACCCAAATTTATATTCTGTCGTCGGTCCAAACTGTTAGGGTTTTTGAAGAGGGAGGTCGATGAGTCTTTTAGTGGTAGAAAACTGGATTTTGGTGGTTAAGATTGATCAGAATTTAATTAGGGAGGGGTAGTTATGCAAATCCTAATCACTCAATTGCCGACAATTGACAGAGTTGGCAGATGTAAAGTTAAAAGGGTTTTAGTGAGTAATAATCAAATAAAAGAATAGTGATGGTGTGAAATCGTAACGATGTCGAAATAAAAAACAGAATATAAATTTGAGTAGTAAAATAATATTTTAAAAGTATGTGGGTGAAAAAGTGTTATTAAGTCATTGTTTGGGTTGTAAAAGTCCTTTACTCTTTTCAATCTCAATTGATATTTAATTTATCACAAGAATGTAAATGATAATGGTGATGGTTGATTGCTAATGATACAATAGATTGACTTTGTAAAACTATTATTACTCATAGCTTAAAATAAGGAATAATTAATTACATAAGGGTGAAGATATTGTAATTAACACACTAAACCACAAAAATTTGTAGCCAATCTACCCTATTGAGCCTTTCATATAATACAAGAATCCCCTCTTTTCTTTCTCAGCTACATAAACAGATAATTACAGCAAAAGTAGAGCACTGCTGTTATGTGGTAGAATTAGCATCTCTCCGGCCTTTTACAAGTTCAATAAACTCTTCCAAATCCATTACTTTCACATTACATCCATCTTTAACCGCGGCAACCAGCACAACTGTTGCAACCCCAGTAACAATACCTGCACCATAATTGGGCATAATAAGTAACGTTTCACCCAGAGACAAAATTAGAATTGCATCGAGTTTTATGGTGAAAGAAACAGTAAAAAGGACTGATGATATTAGAAACTTTCTGGAATAACTCTTCCTTTTTTTTTTTTCTTTTTTTTTTTTTCCTATCAGGTGGATATATATAGAAAATACGATGGTCCAAGAATTTGTCACCCTGTATCATGTCATGAAAAAATCCATACATAGAATAATTAAAGCTTGGGCTAAAAAGTTATGATATATGGGTAGCAGTGATGTATGTCTAGAAAATGAAAATAGGCTGAATACTAGAAATGGCATGCTCCAAGAAAATAATAGAAGGCTCAAGTTTCAAGTCCTTTTCTTACCATTATCAACCACTCCAGGTATCATGTTTAAATTCTTTCAAGCTTAAAAGGGTTCTGTATCCCGTTTGGAAAGCTGATAAAAAAATATGAGCAGTTGAGTTATACAGTCATAAGGATTGAAACTACAAGAACCTTTCGAAAACCTATTTCCACTAAAATAATACGAGGGAAAATCAAACACATGAGAACATACATAGTGTAAAGTATGCTATGTTATTTATGTCCAAGGGAAAGAAATTTGAGCTGAGTGGAGGTGTGTGAGTGTGTGGGAGGGGAAGAGCCGGGAGTTTCAAGTAGTGAGAAAACAGTCCTCATTCAAGAAGATGACGAAAGAAGAAGAGTCACAAAGGGGATAGGAGATCTAGCTCCACAATTCAAACAAATCTGTGAGTCATTCTTAAGTTCTGCACCTAATTTTCCTTAGAGAAGAGAAAGACGATTAAAAAGCAACTACCACACATCTACCACCACATTACCAAGATCTGTGATCACAGGACCATCCTTCATCACAGCAGATCAAATTTCAGGAACTGAAACAACATTACAGGAAATGCCATTTTAGGTAAATAACCTTGGGGAACACCTAGATAAAGGGCTAATATTCTCTGTTAACATTCATTTCACGTCAAGTGCTGAAATGAACTCCATGGCTATAACAACACAGGAAATTAGAAAGGAAAATCTTGTCACTACAATTTGTCCCCAATACATTGAGGGATTAAAGGATAGTCCTAGAAAAACCACGATATATTAATAAAAGAGAAACAATCGCATACTTTTAAAACATAATTAAGAATGCATCACTTTATATGAAATTCAATCAGTGATTTCAACAATAACCTCCACAAGAGCAACATGCCTCCTCAAAACAGGTGACAAAACAATGAGAGAAATTCAACCTGAAATGTCATTAGTCAGCATTCTGAAAACGATAGTATCATATCCACAGAAATCACCATTGGAACACAAAATGGAGAAAAATTTACATGAGACAGTTCACCACATCATTATGCTTATGTGGTGGGACTGTCCAATAAAATAGGCAATAAAAAAAAAAAATTATCCCTAACCTCCCTTGTGGCGGATGACAAGCATTTTAACCACTAGAGGTAACTATATCCAAGAGTCTTGTGTTCAAGTCTCAGGAGAGACACTACCACAATTGTGCAATTATCTTGGTCCATTGGGCTTGTTGGGTATCCGTGGCCTGAGAATTAGGCGGGCTCAGTTGGAAATTGTGCCTAGATACCTCAGTTATTATAAAAAAAATAAATTTAAACCTACTATTAAATCACTAAACAGTTCTCTATGTTTAGGCTTTTAGCAGCTAAAAGAAAATTTTGAACCATCACTACTTTCCTCTTTCATCTCTATCATGCTGTATCTGCCTAAAGCCACCATTCTCCTCAAAGTTGCTGTTGTCATCAAGCGATCGGGCATCCACAACTCCTAAGTGTTTTCTAACCAAAAAAATGGGAGCTGCTAAACGATTATTTTGTTTCTATATAGGAACATAAAGATTTGATTTGTATGTGTTCTTCCATTCCTTAGTAATTCTGCCATAACAGAGAATAAATGTCATGACTAAAACACTTTTTCCAAGCATCACTTTATTTGGATTTTCCAGCCTGTATAATTGAGGTCTTTGGATCTATTTACTTTAATTGAATACTAAACCTGTTTCAGATTAGAGATGAAAGGCGATCTCTTGTACTGTAGTCTTCATTGGATGAGTAAAATTTGCAGAAACTGCAGCTATCAAGTTTCTTAGTGCACAGGTACACTATTGCTATCGGTGCCTATTGGCGATTTCTCTATCTGTGACCTACCAGTGACTAAAGGAAAATAAAATTTAAAGGTTTGAATTTCAAGCTTGAACAAGAAAAAAGTGAAGGATAAAACATTAGGAATTCAGGCTGCTGGAAGATGGCAAGCTGAATGGAGAACTGCAACACAGGCAGAGAATCGATTTAAGATTTTTGTTTAGCGGCTAATGCCTAAAACATAGGAAAGTTCTTGAAATCTATTAAGTTTAACGTTTAAAAATTTTATGCCAAGTATCGACACTTGGCAATATTTTATTGGACAGTCCCACTACAACAACATGATGATGTGGTGTGAGAATCCCAATAAGTTTTTCTCCTCAAAGTGATGCAAATGATTATACTTCTCGTTGATTTTTTCAGTCCACAATGACTCTCTTGTATTATTGTGCAATTGAATTTGTGCTCTCTATGCTTCTAAAAGAATAAATATGGAAAGAGGTCTCCAGTAAATACTTCCAGAATGTACTGAAGAGAGGATTGGTTCAAATTATAGTACCATTCTTTAACCGTGAACTTGAAAGATAATACCTAATTCTCCTTATTTCTACATGCAAGCTATTCATACCAGATATGGTACAATGTTGTTTTGAGGGGCTAAGTACTCGCAATAACTTATGAGTCATTATTAAATGGAAGGTAAAAAATGTAGTACATGTACTACTAAAATGTCAAAGGTGATAGCAATAGACACCATGGAGAACTCAGTAACAAAAGCAAGCAGAAATTATTGATTGGCAATAAGGAATACGGACTGAGCCGCAACTGGAATGCTGCTACCAAGACGATGAACAACCTTTGTATCTTCAGCCAATATCATACGATACAACACGCGAAGGCGGGTGTATAAGAAGCGTGGGAAGGAGCACCAGGGGATCAATAATATTAAAACAAGCAACTAAAGTGTGAATTGAAGGTGTGGGACAGTGGCGAAAGATTACTAGAAGAAGGGTAAATTCTGTTAGTAGAAGAAATGAATAAAAGGAGACAGAAGAAAGGAAATAGGCATCGAGAAAGAAGTGAGGAAAAGGGGAGGTAGCTGGCCCTCGAAGTCCAGCAATCAGTTTCTATTACGTTCTAGCTTGGTTTCTCTTATTTTCAAGTGAGTTAATTAAACCCAGTAGTTCTTATTTGAGAGATGGTTAGAGTGGTGTAAACAGAATTATCAATGAAATACTTCTCTTATGTTAGTCTGGAACTCTAGAGGTTGCTATAAATTGTTGTTTGTTTCGGTTATGAGCTATTGATGTGTGAGTGATGAGAAATCTGGGTAGGTTCGCAACAAATTGGTATCAGAGCAGGTGTGCGGGGGTTATGGTAACAACAAGAAGGAATCTAGGCTGAAAATGTGAACGAGAGGTAACGAAATTGGGCGTGGATAGGGACAATTCGTGAATGCATGGTAGAGATACAGAGTTGGATGAGGAGAAAGGATAAGAAGAAGTGGGGCGTGAGGAACAAAATTCATCTAGAAACGTGAGAAATCAGGAAAGGGAGAATCAAAACAGAGTAAGTGGATCAGGGAGTTTGGGACAGAGTCAAGTGAGTTGGAGGAGAAGAAAACGGAATTACCCATTTCATGGGTGAAGTCCTACGGTGGATCTTTAGAATTGAAAGGTATTTTTCTCTGAATGGAATTCCTGATGATGGAAAATTAACAGCGGCGGCAGTGTGCATGGAAGGGGAAGCCATTAACTGGTATCAGTGGATGGAAGTCAGAGCACCTGTAACCCGTGGCCATCATTAAACTTGCTTTAATTCAGAGATTCAGCGGATCTCAAGAGAGGAACCTATGAAACTCTAATGGCCCTAAAGCAAAACAGTACAGTCGCTGATTACAGAAGAAGATTCGAAGCTGTAGCTGCTTTGTTGGTGGAAGAGAAGGAAGAGATCCTGAACGCTGCGTTTCTGAATGGGTTAAAGGCAGAAATTGGGCTGAGCTGAGGTTGATCCAGCCATTTCTCTTTCCAAACAATAGAAAGAGCCCACAGAGTAGAGGAACGTAACTGGGCTTTAGAAGAACTGAAGACAGGTCCAGCAAGAGCCAATAGTGGAATGGATGGGCCAGGATTAAATGTCGGGTCAAACCATTTGGGATCCAAGAGTTTTAACCGATATCCACCACCGACCCGGAGATTCAATTAAAGCCCCAAATTTGAATGTCCCTAAAATCGAACTCCTTTCAAATTCTTCCTCAAATTCATTCTCCAATTTCTCAAATCCTGGGCGAAGAAACGCAGAAGGTACTGTCGTGGGTTTATCCATGAATTCCTCTCTCGCGAATACACTTCTACAAACTTCAGTACTTCGACAGAAACCATCCACCGCGACGGGAATTTCCCTTTTGAAAGATGACGGAGGCCGAAATACAGAGGAAAAGAGAAAAAGGGTTGTGTTTCAAGTGTGATGGGAAGTATTTCTTTGGCCATAAGTGTGGTGAGAAGCAATTTCAAGTAATCCTCGTGGATGAGGAAGAAGAAGAATGGATCCAGGGGACATGGAAACCAGTGAAGGAACGACGACAGAACAAACCCAAGGTAATGTTGAACTTTCCCTTAGCTCGGTTGTGGGAATCAATGGCCCAAAAACGATGAAGTTGAAGGGCAGTATTATGGGTCAGGAGGTTATTATCTTGATTGACAGTGGGGCTTCCCACAATTTCATTAGCCGAGAGTTGTGAGAAGCTGGGTATTGCTGTAGAAAGAACACAGGCGTTTGGAGTGAGAGTTGGTGATGGATATAAAGTCCGATGTGAGGGGAGTGTAAAGCAGTAGTTTGGGAGTCCAGAGGGTACAAATAACTCAAGATTTTTTTCCCTTTGAAATGAGTAGTGCAGATGTAGTGTTAGGCATGGCTTGGCTTGAAACATTAGGGGAAACCACAATGAATTGGAGGAGCAGCAGGTGATGAAATTTAAATAGGTAAGGAAACGGTGACAATTGTAGGGGATCCTGCACTTAGCAAAACAAGTTTCCTTGAAAGCCATGATCAACGTTGAGAAATGAGGGAAATGGTTACATGGTTGAATTTGGGCAGCTGCAAAACAGTCAGACGAAGAGATCAATGTCAGTAGTATAGCTGTTTCCAGTGTTAGAAACTTTCAGATCCGTATTTGAGCCTCTACCAGATTACCCTCTAGCAGACCCCAAGACATGCAATAGGTTACTGCCAGATGCCCAACCCCCAAACTTAGGCCTTATAGATATCCGTTTTACCAGAGAAAACGAAATTGAGAAAATCATTGGGGAGATGTTAGCCTCAGGACTTATTAAGCTCTATTAGTCCTTTTCCAGTCCAGTGTTGTTGGTTAAGAAAAAAGAGGGTGTTGGAGATTTTGTGTAGACTATAGGGCACTCAATAAGTGACCATTCCGACCGATTTCCCATTCCAGCCATGATGAACTGTTCGATGAACTTGGGGGAGCTGAGGTATTTTCCAAGTGGACTTAAAGTCTGGTTACCATCAAATCAGAGTGCGCTCTGAAGACACGCACAAGATGGCTTTTCGCACTCATGAAGGGCATTACGAATTCTGTTATGCCTTTCGGATTGACCAACGCCCATACATTTCAAGCTTTGATGAACGAGGTATTCAGGTCTTATCTTCGGAAATTTATTCTGGTTTTTTTGATGATATTCTTGTGTACAGCCAGTCAATGGAAGGAACACATGCGCACCTCAGTCTCACATTTCAGAAGCTACAGGAACACCAATTAGTGGCCAACCAAAAAAAATGTTCTTCGGGCAACCCAATTAGAAATTTGGGCCAGTTATTTCAGCAAACGGATGGCTGTGGATCCCTCTAAAATTGAGAGTATCGTCGACTGGCCCCGTCCAAAGATATTAAAACACTCAGAGGGTTCCTTGGACGACCGGATACTACAGACGGTTTGTCAAAGGGTACGGTAAAATCGCACTTCCCTTGACTAACCTGTTGAAAAAGGAGCTTTGTGGGGTGAGCAACCGCAGGCCGCATTTGAAGCTCTAAAATCTGCCCTGACCAGTGTACCAGGGCTACGCATGCGGATTTTTCTAAACAGTTGTTATGAAACGGACGCACAGGATGTGGGTTGGGAGCTGTCTAATGCAGGAAGGTAGGCCTCTTGCATTTCTTAGTAAAGGACTGTCAGCCAATTCGAAACTCAAATCAGTTTATGAAAGAGATTGATGGCTATTGTATTAGCAGTACAGAAGTGGGACATTATTTGTTAGGCCGACGCTTCCTTATCAGAAGATCAGAAAAGCCTCCATTTCCTTACTGAACAGAGGTTGCTAAATGAAGACCAACAGAAATGGGGTGTTAAAACTGCTCGGGTTACAGTTTGAAATACAGTATCAGCCCGGGCCAGAGAACAAAGCTGCTGATGCCTTTCCAGGCGGCCAAAGAGTGTGGAAATTAAAGCCATCTCAATGGGTTTTTTCGGAGGGTTGGGGAATTGGAAGAGACCACAAAAAGATGACAAGTTGCGTTAGCTCACCCAGCAACTTGTGGTCGACCCTCATTGCCATCCTCTTCAAGCTAATGGGTAGACGTTATGTATCATAACAGGTTAGTTGTTCCGAAACAAGGCCCCCATATTCAAAAACTTTTGCATGAATCCATCATCCCCGATTGAGGTCACTCTGGATTTTTCAGAACTTACAAAAGGCTGATGAATGTGTTTTATTGGGATGGAATGAAGAGGGATACCAGAAGTTGTGAACTCCTGCAGGTGTGTCAACAGAAAATATGAAGCACTGCGGCCAGTCGGATTGTTACAGCCTCTCCCTATTCCCGTTCAGGTTGGAAGAACATTTCTATGGACTTATAGTGGGACTCCAAAAGTGCACAATGTGGATACTATCCTGTGTGTGGTCGAAAGACTCACTAAATACAGTCATTTCTCACCACTCAAAACACCCTTTTACAGCAAAGGAAGTGGCAGCAGCCTCATTAAAGATATAGTTAAGCTTCATGGGTTTCCAGAACGAATGTGTCGGATCGCGATTGGGTGTTTTGAGCCATTTGGGGGGAATTGTTCAAGCAGGCTGGAACTAAACTTCATATGAGCTCGGCTTTCATCGCAAACGGATGGGCAAACGGAGGTTGTTAATAGGTGTTTAGAAACTTATCTCCGCTGTTTTGTAGGAATCAGCCTCGGCAGTGGCCTCACTGGATTCCTGGGGCAGAATTCTGGTTCAACACTACCTATAGTAGCTCCACGGGCATGAGCCTTTTAAAGCATTATATGGACGAGATCCTCCAGCATTGCTGAAATACACAGACCAAACTCTCGGTGGATGAAGTTAATCAACAAATGAGACCGCAACAGCATTTTACTTGAGCTAAGGAGAACTGCACAAAGCTCAAAACCGCATGACAACTTCTGCCAATGCAAAGAGAAGGGATGTCCAGTTTGAAGTGGGTGAATCTGCCTACCTGAAGCTACAGCCACCGTCTGAAATCTCTAGCTTGCCGCAGTAAATGAAAAGCTAAGTCCCAGGTTTATGGCCCCTACCAAGTCCTTGAGAAAATTGGTTCAGCCGTTTACAGGTTAGACCTACCAGAAACTGCCCGTATCCATAATGTATTCATGTGTCTCAACTCAAAAAGGTCAATTTTCCATCACCACATATTCAGCCTCTTCGGATTCACTGAATGAGGATTTGGTCTTAGTGGTCATCCAGAGGAAGTGCTCAAGCTCCGCAGGTAATCAATGGGGACAGGGAGGTTCTTGTAAGTGGACAAGGGTTACCCCACCATGAGAACACTTGGAGGAATATGACACCTGAATTTGCAATTTCTTCATTCACCTTGAGGACAAGGTGGCTCTCTTCGGGAGGTATTGATACAAACACGCGAAGTGCGGGTGTATAAGAAGCGTGGGAAGGAGCACCAGGGGATCAATAATATTAAAACAAGCAACTAAAGTGTGAATTGAAGGTAGTGGGACAGGTGGCGAAAGATTACTGGAAGAAGGGTAAATTCTGTTAGTAGAAGAAATGAATAAAAGGAGCAGCAGAAAGGGAAATAGGCATCGAGAAAGAAGTGAGGAAAAGGGGAGATAGCTGGCCCTCGAAGTCCAGCATATCAGTTTCTATTACGTTCTAGCTTGGTTTCTCTTATTTTCAGTGTAGTTAATTAAACCCAGTAGTTCTTATTTGAGAGATGGTCTAGAGTGGTGTAAACAGAATTATCAATGAAATACTTCTCTTATGTTAGTCTGGAACTCTAGAGGTTGCTATAAGTTGTTGTTTGTTTCGGTTATGAGCTATTGTATGTGTGAGTGATTGAGAAATCTGGGTAGGTTCGCAACACATACACGCCTTTGCCATGGAATAAACCACCTGTGTTTTTAATAACAGAACACTTAGCACAGTAGAATTAAATTGAAATATTCAATTGATTATTTTTCATTAATTCAGTGCAAATTCCGATGCCACATAGCAAGAAGTAGCCCCTAAGCATAAGCTCACAAAATCCTTACCAATAGCAAAATTGTATCCTAGCTCTCTAACTTATGCACCTTAGGACTTCATCAGGAACACATTTTTTATTTTAACATCTAATTGCGCATTTCTTCTTTCTGTAACATAATAGAGCAGTTTGACCGAAATATTCATCAAATACCCAAACTGCAAACTATGAACTTATCGAATTATATAATTAGCATCATTGTTATGCAATTCATGCAGTTTAGCAACATTAATGATAACAGTAAGACCAAGTGAAAGATTAGGTTGCTTCTTGAGCTTCTTAAAGAATTTAAATTATTAACTAACTTAGCAGATGAGATGGTATATTATGTATTCAACAGTTCTAGCGTCTCAAACTTATATTTTATACTTGACAAGAGTTAAAGAATCTAGCTTGAAAGCAATGCCATTGGGAAAATGACCTGATCAAGAAAAAGAAAGGGGCAATACATATTCTGTGAACTAAGAAGAACTGCCAGCCGCTAGCATATGCGAATGAACAGAGTGCAGCAGCACAGACCAGTTAAAACTTGGATTATCAAATACAAATGAGAAAATCAGCAGTTACAAAGTGCTTCAAATAGAACTTGAAATGCTGGGAACTTTCTACAAACAGCAGGCCCTCGTCATCAGGCAAATGACGGAACTGGTTTATTGATTAGAATAGTATTACAAAGAAAATATACTATCAAATGAAAATTTTCATTCAGTTACTTACCTTTTGCACAGTATGAACAGCTCCCCTGCACTGCCAAATAAAGGATGATAGTAAATACATTAAGTATATCAAGAGGTCAGGATTCAATTTCAGAAAGTCAAACATGACAAGAGACATGAAGAATTAAAACCTTCAATAAGTTTTTATTGAAGTTCACTTCATCTACCTCATCAAATACGATGTGAATGTCATTAGTGTCATTCAAATCAACCTAAAGTAAAGGCATCAAAAATGCCATAGCGATGAAACATAATCCCAATAAATGCAAAATATTTTTTCATAGATAAAATAAAATATGGTCCCCAAAAGAACCTGAACCTTACAGTTCTCATGCCAAACTGTCTAGCCATCAAACGAGACTGGTCGTTTGCTCCTACAGTAACAATATCCTTCAACTGCAAGATAATTTAAGAAGGCAAACAAAACCTCAAACAACTAAATCATATTTAACAATATTAAACTATGAAGAAGTGCCAGCAGCTAGCATATGCAAATGAACAGAGTGTAGCAACAGAGACCAGCTAAGACTTGAATTATAAAATACAAACGAGAAAATCAGCAGTTACAAAGTGCTTCAAATAGAACTTGAAATGCTAGGAACTTTCTACAAACAGCAGGCTCTCGTCAACAAGCAAATGACGGAACTGGTTTATTGATTAGAATAGTATTACCAGGAAATATACTCTCAAATTAAAATTTTCATTCAGTTACCAACTTACCTTTTGCACAGTATGAACAGCTCCCCTGCACTGCCAAATAAAGGATGATAGTAAATACATTAAGTATAGCAAGATGTCAGGATTCAATTTCAGAAAGACAAACACGACAAGAGACATGAAGAATTAAAACCTTCAATAAGTTTTTATTGAAGTCCACTTCATCTACCTCGTCAAATACGATGTCAATGTCGTTAGCATCATTCAAATCAACCTAAAGTAAAGGCATTAACAACACCATAGCAATGAAAAATAATCCCAATAAATGCAAAATAATTTTTCATAGATAAAATAAAATATGGTCCCCAAAAGAACCTGAACCTTACAGTTGTCATGCCAAACTGTCTAGCTATAAAACGAGACTGATGGTTTGCTCCTACAGCGACAATATCCTTCAACTGCAAGTAATTTAAGAAGGCAAACAAAACCTCAAACAACTAAATCATATTTAACAATATTAAAAATGCCTGATTGTACAGAGCACTGATGCATCTAGTGATGGGGAATCAGGTCCTACATCATCTAAACTCACAATTTATGAATACTTAGGAAATCCAGCCTATTATTAAGCTAAAAATGAAAATTTATTCTACATGTTTGATATTTTTCGTTTTCCCTTTCTAGAGCTATATAATTATAATTTTAAAATTCTTTCCTACTCCACACACTCTCATAACATTTATAGGTTTGTCGTATAAATGATTAAGTTCATGTTCAATTGTTAGGTTTTCTATCAAGAGAAGAAAACTAGAACAAGACCATTGCAAGCTTTATGAAAAATCGGGTCTAGCGCAATCCCTTCCTCAATCACAAACCACATATTGCCACACACTTTCACATGAACCTCAATGAAAAACCATCAAAAGATAAGAAAACTACAAGGAGGTTCCCTAGGAAAAAAGCTGTGGCATATACCTCAAAAGCATAAATAAAAATTCAATTATTATTTAGAAAAGAAATAGGTCTACGAATTAGGCCTTAAGGGAAATTTCAATTCAGTTTATATTTGTGCTCGAGTAAGAGAGGGATGGGGTAGGGTATGTGGTAACACACACACAAATAAAAAAAGGCCTGTCAAGCCTTTAATTCTCCAGCTAATTTGATAAAACTGTGACACTATGTGAAGATCATTAAGAAGCTCAAATCTTTCCTTCTCTAATTAGTTTTCCAAGCTCCTCAATGACGAGAGATAAGGTACTTCCTGAGCCCAGTCCGATCACCATTCCAGATTTCACCATCTCTACAGCCCTCTTTGCAAGGACATGCCTTAAAGAATCCTGCACTGCAGCAGTAACTATTGAAAGGTTACATACATGACACTTAAATTCCTAGGGTTGTAATCAAAAAAGGAAAAAGAAAGTAACACAAACAGGTTACGACATAACCATTTGAAAACCAGTCAAGAGACTTAAAAATGCATTTTATTGAACAACAGATCGAAGACTTTAGCAAGAGCTTGGAAATTTAACATGATAAATGATTCCAACATTTAGCATACCCTTAATATAGAAAAATGTTCTGTGGACAAAAAACATACAAACAAGCAAGAAAAATATATAAAATATGCTTGTTAGATTTGCTAACTGCTTTTGATAAGTTAAATTATCTCCACCACATAATCTATGATTTCTAGGCTTCTCGATAGAAGATAAAATATGTACCTTGGAAAATTTTACAATGCAACTTAAATTGATCATTTATCTTAACAAACATCCTGCTTAAATCAACGAAAAAGCAAAAGTGCACTTTCACAAACCATAAAACAAAAATGATCACCTGATGGTATAGTACCGATGCTCCAATGTTCACCATTAATAGAATGAGAGTCTTGGTGGATCAATGTTCTTGCCTGTTCTTTAGCCTCCTGTCTCTTTTTCATACGAGAACCTCCACTTTTCTTTTGTATGTTACATTGCAACTTTCCCGGACTCAAGTCATGGTTATGTTCAAGAACCACACTACAGACATGGACCTGCCATCAGGATCTACTACAACGTTGTTCTTAGCTTTGCAGTTTGTTTTTGGCCTGAAATGAACCTTTTTATTTGCAATGCTTCTGGTTTTGCCTGACTGAGCACATGCAAGTATGAAGTATGTTAACTTCCCATCATCACCACACCTCGAGCTTCTTCGCATGATGCCAAAACCTTGCCGCTGAGCATACTTGATGTAATAATTACGGACTTCTTCTTGGGAGGAAAAAACCATTCCGACATGGGGTGGTTCTATTTCTTCATCTCCATTTAACACTCCAACACCATGCTCATCTACCTTGGCATCCTCAACTCTCTCATTACCAGAAGATACCGCTGTATCTTTGGTCAACATTAAATTTACAGCAGAATTGCCTTCCATCTCCTGGTGATTTTTTTTATTTAAGAAAAACAATTTCAAATGGGGCAGACTTATTTGAGAAAATAAAAATGTCAAATGGCTTATGGCATAAAACACTAAAATTGTATATCCCCCAAACTAATCCAAATGCAAACAATATTAGGTAAAAAACAAGCTGTGAAAAAAATAACCAACACTATGATCACATTTGCATATTGCCATCAGTCTTAAATTCTTAACAGAAATGTATCGCAGAGCTTATGGCAAAATGCTATCTCATTTCCGAGTGGATAAACTGTAAACCAAATGGACGCTTACAACAAATAACCCCAAACTTAATAAGAAGAAATTCTGAAAGCAATACCTACCTTCATCTAGTAACTCAAGAATCTCGAATTTTGGCAGGAACCCAGAAATTTAATAATTGAATATTTTCAGATTTTATAAAAAGTTGGATTTATTACTGCATTTCATATTATTTGAATCAAGTTGGCAACAATTGGCACATTGTGGAAATTAAACAGCAATGGTTGAGTTAAAATTAAAAAAATAAAAATAAAGAAAATGAAGAGAGACCTGGTATTAGTCTTAAGTTGAAGGAGACTCAGAGACTATTGCTGACCACTGGCTGTCAAGACACGACAGCACTTCTGCTCTCGTTATTTCCCGTCGCTTAAAGTCCGATTTATTGTTCAGGTGAATATATCAGTGGATATTATCATTACACACCTCTGTGTTTGCGTTAGTAAAAGAGTTACTAAAAGGGAGAACGACTTTTCCCACCCAAGGTTTGGCGAAATGTCCTTTCGCACCCATTAAGTTTCAAAACGACTTTCTCACCCACCGTTATATTCCGTTGGGAAATTCTGTTGCTATTTGACTGAAAATACGAAAACACCTTTAGATATTTGATTTAATAATTTTTATTATTTTATGTCATAGCAATAAAGTCAATGACCAATATACCCACTAATTACTATTATGCCTTTAACTATATATGAGCATGTAAATTACCGATGTGTCCTTTTAAATTTTTATTAAAAATAATGTTTTAAATGAATGATGTTACCGCTGGATTTTTAAAAATTTAAAACCTTGAAAATTACCAGTTTGTCCTTATAGTGTTGCTTAACACTAAAGTGGCATTTATATTTAAATTTTGTCAAATTAAACCCAAATAAAACTAAGTATTAGTATCACTAATTTGCTTATATAAGAATTTAGATTGTAAAATTACAGTGCATATATATATAAGAAATTTTGTCAATTCAAACCCAATAAAATTGGGAATTCAATACAAAGAAAACAGGTTTTCTAGTTTCTCATTAATTTCTTAAAATCCAAAAAGTTTTGCTTTCACCCTCCTACTTTTTAGCTCCTTAAAGCTTGCTTTTCTTTTGTTTTGGGATCTTTAAAACCTTCTTCACAATCTTTTGCTCTTCCACCAAGAAACCATCTCCAATTTATCCTGTCAGCGTATCTGCAATCCAATATCAAATATTAAGGTCGGGAGTATTTATAGCTGCTTCAGAAAAGAAAAAATATGAAGACATAATATTCCAAACAAAGGTTTCAAGCGTGTAGGGTAGTTCGCTAAACAATCACAACAAAAAGGACTAAAAGACTCATTTTTTAGTAGTAATAACTAGTATTCCAAATTATTACATGCAACTAACTTTGGCATCACCCATAACTCTCCATGCTTTGAGGTCACAAGCCCTTCCTAACTTAAATGTTAATTATGATAAGGTAATAGAATGGAACAACAAGGGGAAGAGGGGAATTATTTTATTCATAGAAATGCACTTTTTAATTCACTACATTATACATTTTTGCATCTGATTTTCACGCACAAGCTTTTATATATTTCTTCTAAGGTATAAGCAAAGCCTTGGTATCAATACACATTTGTAGATAACTCAAGAAATAAATTTCTAGACCTTAATGACACATGAATACATATCTTGCATACATAAAAATGTAACCAATACAGAACTATGTATATGTGTGTGCAGACTATTCAGGAGTGTAACTGTGAAATTACAAAAGGTATAAAACTACATAGAATATAATATAACTTAATTTACTAGTTCACCCTCACTGAGAGTTCAAACACCCACAACAATAGCTCCTCTTGACTTAGAACTTTTAGCTGCTCCCCCACCGCCAACAAAAAGCCGCATAACACCTACTTGAGCTTCATTTTTCAA